TGGCTTGTCGTTACGATTTTCACTCCAGAAAAAGACACTGGTCGGACTTTTTGAGCCCAGACGTAAAAGTAAACAATTTTAAGTCTAAGTGAATTGTTGAAAGGAAGGTTGGTGTCGAGTTCAAAGGAGAAATTCTGAAATGTTAAGACCCAGAGCCCGAGACAAAAACCAATCCATAGGGGTAACCGTATAGCAGCCAGCCACTTCCCACATCGAGACCTGTTGATAAGTGCGGTACTTGAGATCGATCCTGGCCCTGAAATCGAATCAAATTCGTGGACTGAGGAGTTTTTTTTAAAGTTTGCCAAGGGAAAAGAGGGAGGAGAGATGGTACTACAGGTTTCGGGTAACTATTTGGCCAGGTTGCGATCGTGCCAGCCGGATTAAAGAGAATTACTAATGTATTCATAGGCCTGTTCCAGTTTTGACACTATCTGGTCCATCCCAACTCTTCAGATGTGACCGCCATTCAAAACTCGAACAGTCTCTGTAGAGGGGGTAAGATACGAAGCTTGGCTTTCAAACGTGGCTCGGCATTTTAGTTGGTATAACTACATGATTTCAGTCCTGGGTTTTGCCCTTCACCTGCGTATTTTTATAAACACTGTGTACTCAAGAAAAAAATCAAAACAAAAAATCAAAACAAAAATCAAGACAAAAACAAATGCGTTTCCGCAACTTTGTGGAAAAGCCAATAATGTGCGAAATTTAATGCTGTCGATTTTGTGCTGCCATACTTGGGCAGGTACTAGCTAAGAAAACATTTTAATTTAAAATGCATTTGTTACTACCGTAATTATTCAGGTAAATGACAGGGTTCAGTTGATATTTACAACATGTATCCTCATTATATGAAAACGATTGTTGGAAATCGTCTCACCATCATGGTAGCTTCAACTTCAACAACGTCCCCGGAAATAAAACTGAAAATCTGAAATTGTACTCAACCTTCCGTTTGATCTTCATAGATACGGCGGGGTTTATTTACATTTTTCTGTCTTGGCAACCAGTGCATTTTCATTCTGTAATTGAATTCGAATTATCTGCAAGATCTTGTTTTTCCTGACTGCCAGATTTTGCTTGGTAGCTAAGTACTCCGCCTGATAACGCACGAACTTCACTGGGAGGCACGCACTTGACTACTTAAAATTCGTGAATACGTTCGACGACTCTGCTTCGTGTTAACGCGCATTAAAGGCGGAGCTCGTAAGAGTGATATTCTCGGGTCAGGCCCGTCAGGGCAAATGAAAGATTATGACTTTGGGGTTGGAGTAGTCAGGGGCGGAGCTAGCTTTCAGCTGAGGGGGTGATGTGTAAGGGGTTGAGTAAAGGCGTGTCAAAGGCACGCCCTGCTAGGGGGTCCGGATCATGCCGCCCCCCCCCCCCCGAATCTTTGAAATATACGGTGCTTTCTTCTGCATTCTAAGGCAATTTGAGAATAAACTAATTTAGGAACTTTAGTATTCCATTTATTATTCTTGGCCCCATTTTCTTAGTATCATAACATTGTTCAGCGGCTGCAACACCCCCCCCCCCCCCCCCCCCTCTTGATCAGCCGCAGCCACTAGGTAGAATACAGTACTTATATGTTTTGGTTGTTTCCGGTTTTGGGGGAGTAACAGTTTCTGCTGATTGAAAAGTTATACATTGAGGATATTGCTATCATTTTTCCGATTTTACCGCAAGGAGGTAAGAATATCCACCAATCACAGGAGGTTATAAGGTTCTTTAAAATAGAAAAGATCCACTGCAAAATCATGGGTATTCGACCCCAAAGATACTTTAAACAGCCAGTATTTGTAGGATTTACGGTATATTAACTGCTGAAAAGAGTCATGGAAGTGTCCAGTAGGCATAAAAGGCATGACAGCATATTCGGTATGCTACACCAAGTGCGGGACCCATGACAGTCACGATCTCGACGGCACGTCCCGTCCCCGTGTTCACGGTCAGCGAACACGGGTGTTGTTATTTGAAGCGATCAAGTCGGCGCGCTTGTTATTGGGAGAGAAGCGCGGAAAAGAAAACAAACTCACACACGGGTTGTGAAATCTCCCCAATACTGACGTACATTACGGGAGTTCACGGAAGGTCCCGATCTCCTCGGCAATTCTAATGCTAAACTGACAGCCCATCAGAAGCATAATATTTTGATAAGTTTGAAGGCAATTTTTGTTTTTGATTGATTGCCAACTCTGGTAAACTAACTGCAATATTCCTACAAATGTACCATTAGGGAGACACGTTATCGTAATTTCTTCGATAATAGGGAGACACCGGCTTTTAGGGAGACACACAACTGTCTCCCTAATGGCACAGCCCCCTTTAGAGGCAAAATTTTAATGTCGCAATTAGGTTATATTTGTTGCTCGTGGTCTAATTAGTAAAAAATACCGAAATTCGTGGAAAAAGGACAAGGGAATATTGGGTTAGGGCACATTTAAGTTGGAAACATTTTGTGCACAAGTCTATGGGAAAGTCTCCCTAATAACCCATTCCCGGTAATTATTATTATTACAATAATCATTTATGATTTTACAAATCCGTTCTTTTTAAGTAAAACTGTTTCATGCTTGATACCTAATTGTAATGACGATAACGCCATAATTCATTCCTAGCAAGAAAATCAGATGACGACAAATATTGTATACCTCTTTTGAAACGGGGATCTCAAAATAATATAAGAATTAAGTGGCCACATCTTTGCATAGTGCAGGTACACAGTAGCGAGCAGTATGTACACATCTTGTCCGCGTCAATTGCAATAAATTGCATACATTATGTTTGGAGACAGGGAATTTATTCAATAGAGAAAAATACTCTTGTTTCCAAGCTGTCGCACGTAGTCTTTACCTAAAGCCAGCTGAGCTATCGTAGTGAGTTCCTTGAGGAGCACACAGCGCGTTACGGGAGCGTTCATTATGTTGTCAAACTGTGTAGATGTTTAACGGCAATCGTTCGTCATTCGAAGGGGACCCCTGTTGTTGGTGGGGGGTTTTTTGGGGGGGGGGGTGTTCAAATATTTCATTCGCTAGCGTTAATTTTTCCATTACTCCTCAGGATTTTCTTCCCTATGCAGATGTATTTTACCCTTTCTGTTTCTGTGAGGTCTTATTCAAATTATGTGTGACGTGAAGGATAATTGAAAGCTCGCTAAAAAAAGAGGAACATCTACTAATTTTTAATAAAGTGTGGAAGTTTCGAAATGTCCACACCTATCTAACCTCTAGTTCTTTTCTACGCCACCCCCTCTTATAAGAAGAAATCGTTACAATGCATGGTTGTCACCCCGAGTGACCCGACCAATTCCGAGATTTCGCCGCGAGAGTAAACAGGATGGTGCGGCATCCTCCCTTTAGCCTGGCAACGGAATCCCAAGGTGGATGTAACGAGAGGAGAAGGACGGAAGCACTCCAGCCCCGGTCGAGCTACCGTGTCTTGCATGGTGAATGCACGGCCAACATTTGACACCGGCCGGACTGTGGACTTATAGCCGAGGTTTCGGTGTCTGAGAACCTTGGCCAACCTTCCTGTGAGATTCTGGAGATTAAACTGAAGACCTTTCTCCGTCACTGCCTTGTCTAGGTGATTAAGTACACCTCGAAGTAAAGTTGGCGTTGCATTTTGTCAAATCGTCACAAAGTGCTTAGACGTTCGGACTTCTATTCCACTGAATCTTATTGAATGCACATTCAATTCATCATTAGTGACCCATTTAATTACTCTTTCCATTTTGGTCGTGATCATTCAGCGACCATGTTTCGAGGTTCTGATCAGCGCACCGGAAAATATTCAATCAAACATGTCTGCGATCAGTGACGTCACGCCAAATATGTCTTGCTGTCTGCTGCCACCAAGTGTTTCGAAACCCTCCAACTTCACAATAACCCTGTGGCATATCTGGTTCCACAGTTACATCACGCGTTCAGTTTTCACTATACGCCTATCAGATGTGTACGATTTGCATTTTAATGACACTATAGACGATCATCATTTCTCGCTACTAAACGAACCCGCATGCTTGGGTCCGTACGTCATGGGAACCAGACTATAGTCCCCTACTTGGAATCAATGTATCACTAAAAACGGCAGTTATGTGATAAAAGGGTCAATTATCGAGCTCCCGAATTCAACTGAAATGAGAGCCTAAAGAGGCCTTGGTACCCGTAGGCTAGGGCCAAGGTAAGCCCTTGTCCCATCGGGTAATACAGCCATATCTCTTGACCTCGGGCCAGCCAAGTTAGCCAGCCACTTCAACCCACTCGTGGCCATTTTGTCAACAAGAGAGAGAATAGAAAATTTGGTACCCTGCCCGATTAGGCTACTTTCGGTTAGATGGGCAGGGCCGTGTTTCTTGTTCAAGAGTCTGTCTTCATTACTAACTACACCCCGGTGTACCGTTAGAGTGTCTCAGAAACGCAGCATAACCTTGCGTTTCAAATGCACATTGGCAAATTCCTTTTTTTTAACTGAAAGTACTGAATGCAAAAGTTATCGTTTGGTCTTTGGTATGTGCCAAACTAGCGTTCGCATTTGCGATAATGTGGACAATGGTATGGTCTGTGTGTGTTTTCTATTGAGGCTTGTTAAAACACGAAATCATACTGAGCTGTATTCATTAATAAGCATTGTTTCTGTGGCAATTTAATTGCAATGGGTGTAAGGTTAGTGTATTTTGTTCACTTAGGTTGTTTCAAGACTTCATTTAGATTCAAGTTGGGCGAGTTCTCTGAACTGCTCTTCAGGCCCAAGGCTACCTTTCGCTCGTAATTGTCTCAGTAGCATAAGCGTATTCCTCTGAATGTGTTACTTGGTTTCCATTTTCCTTCCAGCGCTAATTGACAAGATGCTCACTTTGCCGCGTTGTATAATTAGTTTAAACCTGCTCGGGGAGATGAATCGTAATGGAAGCCAACCGTGCTAGCTACTGAAGATAGCTGGACCATTGATGAACTATCTCATACATTGTCCCTTTCTTTTATTTTGTCCTTGTACCACAGGTCCACCGATCGTTATCCAGAGCGATATCTTCGCCCTGAGCGTCGGACCAGTCGTAGAGATAGACCTGGTAAGTTTTCCCCTTAATCCCCTCCCAAGATCGCTCTGCTAATTGAGTCCTGTCCGATTGGGTTTTACCACATGTTAACGACATTTTTTCCCCTTCATTTTTCTCAATATTTTTTCACAATCCAATTTGAGGGATATCTTTGGCCGTGGACTCCTTTTATCTTTTCGCTCGGCTGATCCAATTTTCGTGCGTTGCACCGCGCGGTAATCGAATTCGACGTCATTAGCTGCTAAATCACGTGCGTTGGCCCGGCCTTTTGAGCTGTGTGGGGCTAGGGCGAGACACTGGGAGGTATGGAGCCGACTTATTTCCGGAGCAGGGACATGGTTTGAAATACAGTAAGTCTGAAATAAAGTTTGCTTGAATAGGCTGCAGCCCTCAAGGTTGAAATAAAGCTCTTTCCTCTCCCCTGGGCAATCTCATGTAAGGTGCTTGTTGGATTTGGTAAACCTATCTCCTATTTTTACATGTACAGGGCTCTAAATCAATAAAGTCTTAGATATCATCGCAAGTCTGTTATCGTAGGATATTTCCTTCCCACAGTCGTGAACCTTCCGATAAACGCTGACCTAAAGAGGAGTCGATGAAGATTCCTGTTCCAGAAAATATCATTTCCCGCCGAAATACATTTTTTCGACTCAACATGTATCCAAAGAATTTCCTTTGAAGTCGAATTCTGGACAGACCCATCAACGAAAAGAGAGACAATTCTCAATGTGGTCTTCGTCTGGCAGACGATATTGGAAGCCAGACAAGACCTCAAATGACCGGACTTCAGACACCTATAATCGCGGCGGCACTGAGTCCGCACTACGAATTAGCCACCGAGTGATAGCCATTACATGCCCCGTGCTCCTTAGCGACCTAGCCCGCTAACCGTTGCCCCGGCGCGGTCGTCCCACGGTCTTCTTTCATTCCCTAAAGCTCCCTTGACATTTATCAGCGTTTGCGACCAATTCCATCAACGGTGCAAGTCCAGTTTTCCCATTTCCGGTCCGTTCAATCTTACCTTTAATTAAAGTTCCCGGTGCGAAGAAAGGAAGCCGAAAGCAACCCACTAATATGTCTGTCGGGTGATCGAGACTGTGGCGAGCAGATTTGGGGTTAAAAGCGTCGATTTGATTAATTTTGCGACAGTAAATTTCGGTGCAGGAGCGATGAAAGCCTGAGTGACGTCAGAATCTCTTCATCCAGCAGCCTTTTTTACAACCTGCAGATGAACATTCTCTTTCACCGTCAAAATCCATTTTCTGTGCAAACAACTGTTAGGCCTACACACGAAGCGGCAACACTGATATTGAAGTCTGTAAATTCATAAAATTGATTCCGACCTTATCTCCAGTTCCCAACCAGGACTCTGACCCCAACACCTGCCCTTAACCCTTCCCGGACACAACCCCACCCTTAACACCAAAGCCCACTCCAAAAACTCAAATCCGAACGCACAATCACCCTCTCTCTTAGCCATTTTCCCATATTAGAATGAGAAACAATTCCCCAAGGGTTCAGACGGTTTAACATGAACACTTCAAAAATATTGTAAGCCCGTACTTATTTCTCAATCCCCTATAAATTATAATATCTGCACAAATCACAATAATTCCCTTTTTCTCGAATATTTAATTCTACTTCCAACGAGCTGCGTGTAAGCTTTCCTTCGAGCAAAGACCTTGGCGCGTACTTCATTCCAAACGTTCCTAGCAATGCCAAATTACTCAAGGCTGAAAGGAGTGATCGGTAACTATCCATTAAATCCGCATTCCCCTGCATCTATCACTTTTTAAACGCTACGCGAACACTTGAACAACAACGGTGCGAACCAATAAATCACAACCTGTCTTCCTAGCGACGACCCCCATGACAACCGATGAAGGGCGCCCTCTGTGTTCTAATTAGGCGAGCCGGCACTTGAGGAGCGCACTGATTGGTGAAAAAATAGTTTGGTTTCCGGGATCCTGGCCGGCCATAAACAAAGCGTTAATGACGTACATGCGGCTTATTAACAGGGTACTCTGGCGTCCGCCTCGTATGTAATCGCATAAATCGTTATTTGATTACCTTGTCAGGGTTCATCTTGCGAGTAAATGTGTTGAGTGTTTCATGAGTGCTTTCTTTCATTTGCGTACCTGGTTGCTAAATGCATGCTGGGATACCCAGCCTTTTTGTTATTTTACTTTGCATAAATTAAACATGTTTGAGGATCACACCAAGTTTATTAGCAAGCCCTTCATAGTAACGCAATTCGGTGAATTTCATCTCACCGTCTTACTGTTGTACGTTATTGGTTTCATGTGAGTTCGTATCTAATGACGATCTAGTGATCGGGATTTCAAACGCTGAGCAACACTACGAGCTAAGTTAACGTCTGCGTGAAAATCAATATGTTGCCTCCCCGGAGACCTAAGATGCCAAACGTGTATACAGGAAATTACAAGTTTGCTAGCAATTTTTGATTTACATTCTGAGGGCTTTCTAATTAGCCAGTAGGTGAGGATTACTCCTGTAACACTCTTCCTGTGTCTTAATATTAATTAGAAACCATGGGCCCCGTTTTCAAGAGGCATGGTGAATTTCTATTGAGCAATATGGCAGCTCGTCTTAGCGGGGCCTGCATCCGGCATCGCCAAATTGGAATTAAATTGCGGCCATGTATGCTAGCTAAAGCTCTTATTTGAGAAGCTATTCATGCCACTTAGGCTTGCCTATGAAGGAATTTTAAATTGGCACAGAAGCCGAGGGCCTCAGTGCTTAATTTTGTTTAGAGGATTACAAAAAAGGTCCTCAATTCATTTAACAGCTTAGCACTAATAGCCTCGCTTTCAGTTCTGTGCTAATTTGAGATTCGTCTATAGAGCTTCTTTTTCAACTGTAACGTCCAAAGGGCCAACTGGAACTAAAACGAGGCTATAAAATACATTCGCGTCGTTAACCATGCATATATCAGCTTTATGACATCCATTCAAGCTTGCCGAGGCTTGCCGAAGCCTGCCGAAGCTTACCAAAGCTTGCCGAAGCTTGCCGAAGCCTGCCGAAGCTTACCAAAGCTTGCCGAAGCTTGTCGAAGCCTGCCGAAGCTTACCAAAGTTTGCTGAAGCCTGCTGAAGCTTGCCGAAGCCTGCCGAAGCTTACCAAAGCTTGCCGAAGCTTGCCGAGGCCTGCTGAAGCTTACCAAAGTTTGCCGAAGCTTGCTGAAGCCTGCTGAAGCTTGCCGAAGCCTGCCGAAGCTTACCACAGTTTGTCGAAGCTGGCCTTTTCTTTCAAGTTGAAGGTGCAAAGCATCCTTTTGGAAAATCCTGAAACAAATAGTTCATAGGATTCGGGTAAAGAATGTCTATAAGTTTCTAGAGGTTCATTTACGAGTCGAGGAAGTTTATAGGCTACAATATGGACATTTCTTTTATTCATTCCCCCCCCCCCTTCCAGGAATTCAGCATCGATGTCTTCTTCCGTCAGCGCTGGACCGACCCCCGGCTCCAATTCAACAGTTCCTCCGTGGAGATGCTGCAGCTCAACACCATCATGCTGGAGTCTATCTGGTATCCTGACACCTACTTTTTCAACGGCAGGCGCAGCAAGCGCCACACCGTGACCACGCCCAACCGACTATTCCGCATCTCGCCCGAGGGAAAGGTCCTGTACACGCAACGGTGAGGCGGCAACTAGACTTGAAAACCAAACTGCATAGGATCTTTTTCTTATTTTAGATGCGGTGGTGGACATACACAGTATTCTTTTTGGAGGGTGCTGTTTTGGTTGGTCAAAATCTTTTGTATTTACCCAAATTCACCCTAACCACACTGGGTCCACCATACCCCACAAACTGCTGCTGACAACTGATCAACATGTTGCCGTCATTTTGTGTCATACTCATAAATTTACGATTTAAATGAGTTTTTCATTGATATTTTTTGCACAGTCTTTCGGCAAAAAGGAACGTGCAGTATTATGGAATTAGAGTCTTTTAGCGCTAAAAATCAATTTACATGCACAGAAATCTAAAGTTGGAATGAATATCCAAAGATCATGAACGCACTTGTCATATGATTTCTGGTTAACTGAACATGCAGTGTTTTGAAAGAGGCTGTCGTTCAAAATGCAATTACATGCACTATCGATCTAAAGTTGAAATCATTAAACATGGGATGATATCGTGAAAGAAAAAGGTGATGACCTGTTGTATATTTTAACGACTAATAACAGCAGATGTTGCTGTAAACAATATGTTTACCTGTACTATTGAATCGACTTGGTGTGATTGCACTATGGTTTTGTAATTGCACCAAAATTCAATTTAACTATCGTCAGAAATATGATAACCATAATGGCTATATCATAAAATCGGCATGATTCATAACTTGATCAAACCAACACATTTTCTTTGCACTTTCGTGCATCATACATGACAATTTGTTTTATAAAGATTTGATATATTTATCTTGGTCGTGGTACTTTGATGGGACTTCTTTATATATCTCAGATATTCATAATAATGTGCATTATGTTCAGAGAGTTTCACTGATTAGTGAGCGTAATGCGCGTGCTTCTGTCGATCAGGTAAGCTGTAATGGCAAGTACGTCTTTCATTCACTTCAGTTTATTGAACTTTAAAATACCTCTTATCGTGTTCCCTTCGGGCCGCGATTTGTTTCTTTACAAGTCCCAAGTTGACGATAAAATAACGGTAGAATTTCAAGAACGGAAGAGACCCAAGAAACATAAGGCGAAGCTGTCGAACAGTTCATGAAAATATCCCGCAAAAATTCACCCCGGCTATCTTACCAAAACAACATCACATACAGCAGCAGCGAAATAACATTTGACATTTTGCAAAGTGCTTTGGTGTAAATCGCTCCCTGGTGGCGATTTCAAGAATTTGGTTGGAGGCGGTGAAACCATCAATGCTGCTTCCGTTTACATCCTCCCGATTTCACTCCGTCTCAATTTGTCCAAGAACCCCTTAAGGAAGATGGCTTGCGAGGGACCTCGGCTAAATGCGAATCGTTAACAAAAGTCTCCTGTTAGGGAGAGAAAGAAAGGGGGAGAAAAAGACGGGAGAATCGCACGAAAGAGCCAACTGAGTGTAAGAAAATTAGTAACGGTGGATTCAGCATGGAGCGTGGATGGGTGCGGATGGGACGGGGGAGATGAGGCGAGTGCGCCCTGTTGACTTCAGCCGTGCACGGCACGTTGACACGCACGGGGGAAATCACTTTGGAGTCCGGGGGTCCTTCGCATAACTGCTGGCGTACTTTTATTAATCCTACCAAAGACAGTACGAAAATCTTGCTTGGGCCAGGTGGGATCAGCTCGCCAGCGCACGAACGATGTACGGTACGTTAGTAATTGCACCGTCGTGTTATACCCGGGGAGTGCCGCAACATGCAAGTCCACTTCAAATGGAGTTAAATCTCCTTGGTCTAAACTTAGCTCTCACTCATAAAAAAAACAGGCTCGGTTGAAAAATGTTTTAGCCTTATAGCCTCAACTGAGTCAGAATAGATCGAAAGAGCGGTCGGGTTTTTGACAGAGTTGTAATGACTCGAGTCAATGACTCGACTCGAGTCCGACTCGAGTCACATTTTTTGGCGACTCGACTCGACTCGAGTCCCGACGGGTAAATGACTCGACTCGACTCGAGTCGAGTGAGAGCAAATGACTCGACTCGACTCGAGTCCCTCATCAGAATGACTCGACTCGACTCGAGGAAGGCTAATAAGACTCGAGTCCCAAAATAAAAGCAAAACTTACTTGCGAAAAATATTTGCAACGACTTACGCTGCGCCGTTCGCGTTGCCAGTTTTTGTTCACGTCACGTTAATGTTCGCGAATAATGTACGTTTATATACAGCGGCAGTCTGTTTCCTTCCTCCATAATGAAACAACAAACATACACCGTGTCGCGGACTCCCACCTTGTGGTTCTATAGCATGTAATGCTAAACCCGGAACCAGACTTAAAACGCATTTCTCAATCCGTGGTTTCATCATTGGTTTCGGGCGATTTTGAAGTTCTTGGTGGAACGCTGGCTAAATTCATGTCCCGATTTCACACAAAAAAATGGATACGGACGGGCCCACCTTTAAATAATCAGAACAGTTTTGTATAATGCAATTAGGTTTTAACGTTGTCAGCGATCAGCGAACAACAAAATCTAGACCCGAAGCCAAACCAGTTATAAGACCGAAGTTTCACATCTTCTTATCTGTGACGTGAGCTAGCAATGGAAACTGTTGGTTGGGTACCATACAGCATACTTTATGTCTTTGGATTTCCGTAATAGACTGGTGCCTTGTATTCTTTCTCTCTTGTGTTTGTTGCTTTTTATTGTAATTTAGTGTTCAAATATTTGTGACTCGAATTGACTCGAGCTAAGTACTTGACTCGACTCGACTCGACTCGACCACACTCTGTGACTCGACTCGACTCGACTCGACCTTGTTGACCTAATGACTCGACTCGACTCGAGTCACTTCTTTAAAATGACTCGACTCGACTCGAGTCACAAAAATCAGTGACTCGTTACAACTCTGGTTTTTGAACCCGAACCATAAACGACAGTATTACCTCAATATTCTGAAATTGATGTTCAAAGTGCAGACGGGCAACGGCCATTTCCATCATAAATTGCGCGCGAAGATGAAAGACCACCCAATATTGTCAAGTAAATCTTGAAGTTCAAACATGCCGTTAACCCTCATCCATCATGTGGAAAGTGTAATCGAAAGTAATTTTGGTTTCATGATCCTTTTTGACGTCCCTCGCGTATTACATGCATTTCGAAAAAAGGCCAATCCCGTATACCATGTTATGTTAACTTAATAATGTGGCGCACTTCGATTCTCAGTGGTTCAATCCGGGGTTATCTTCGCGTGAGGGCGCTCTTCATAATCATATAACAGCAACTTGCAGTTGGATAAGGTGGATAAACTACACTATTTTTATCGCATTCAACCAAAAAAAAACCCAGACAAATTGTACATTATCCCCGCACTCGGAAATCGCCTTGGGGTCTGGATATTTGTGACCTTATTGTTGGAATTGGCTCTGACAAGCTAAATCTGCATGAGAATTAAAAGGCCGCGAAAGTTGCAATGTTCTTGGAACTAGAACAAATATGACATCAACTACTCGTTAGTCACTGAAAGTTCTTCTACCAAGTTTGGTTTTGGTTTGGTGTGCGTTGGCATGCTTTCTCTATAATGTAAGTATTTCTTTCTATTCATTTCCAGTTTGACCTTGAAAGCAGAGTGCATGATGAACCTGGCCAAGTACCCCATGGATGTACAAGTCTGCCCTCTACACTTCGGAAGCAGTAAGTTGGCCTCATCGTGTTCTCATCATTTCAAATCAAAAATGAACAAATTACGTGCGTCTTTCCCAGGAGATATCTATATGTTATCACTATAGCATATATTATGGCACTTACAATAGTATTGTGGCGTCAGTATATATTATAGATAGCTTTGACATTTCTATTTAAAGTATTGATGCAGGGATTAGCTGTGATGTTGTGTAATACTTGACCCTTCATGATTATGGGGAAATACTAATATACTTATGTTAAGAGTTAGGGAATAAAAAAAACCTTGTCCAAAATTTACAGATTGTTTTGGAGTTTTCCCGGAACACGTTTGAGTACTGTGTTTGTCGTGTGATAGTTTTGTGTAAATACAGATGAAATGCGTTCAAAAAGCGTTGAAGTGCACCATAAGGATTCGAATCATGAGCTTTTGATTAAAAACCAGTTCGGGAAAACAAAATAGGAAAGATAACATGTATTAAAGGTCAAATGTATTAAAGGTATAATGTACACATTTTGTTCAAACGGATCAGTTTTAGCATGTCACGCTATTATTAACGATGGTCTCGTGTTTCATAAAATAAATCCGATTTTTCTCATTTGCACATCCATGAAATTTGACATTTTGAAAAACGGCTCTCAGCGGAAAATGTTACCACTCAACCACATTCGATTCAAGGTGACAAAAACTAACCACATTCGTTACAAGGAGACAAAAACTGGAGATCGTATCACCCCTCAACCAAAGCGGTAGCACTCAACAAAATGGCTCCGGATATGGAAGTGGGCGTATGGAGGATAATCCTGTAATCCGATTATAAGCCGTATGTCCCTTTTTGGCGCGCTTTTTTTTCTTTTCTTTCCTTGGCAAAAAAAAAGAAAACGCGGGAGGTTTTTCCCGCGCGAAACGACAAGGGGGCTATTTACGCTAATGCTACACGAGGCAAGCCTAACATGTTGTTGTCACGCACGACCCCTGTCTTGTTTTTGGAGCACTTAGCACTGATTAGCAATTGGGCCGGAACCAGACTCTTCTCTCTTTTTCGTTGACACCCTAAGGCGAATGAGATTTAAAGATGTTTGTTTGCTGGGCTATATTTTGGTGTATTTTGTCATGTTATTCAACGTGTCATGAACTGTGCTTGCCCCTTTTTCCTGAAATATGGGTTAAGAACGCCTGACATCTTGCTAATAGGATATTAACTCGATTCCACAAAAGCTTTGCAAACTGTTAGTTCGTTAACCTATTTCTATACATTTGTATTAAAGCTAAACAAAACCAAACTTAATCTAATATAAAATGTATTGAAAGTAAAAACCTATCATGAAATTCATGTACATATGTGCTATTTTAGCATACGTAACTTATTACAAATGTATCTCGTATACTGAATTATGATAGATTATTATGTCTGACTATTAAAGGTCCATAATTTGCCCTTGTATAATTAGATGTAAACCCAAAATCCCATTGTGACAAAAAAATAAGTCCTACATTTGAAATGCAGGAGGTTGCGGGTTCAAACCCTGCCTAAGTCATTTTTTATCTTCTAATTTGCTCCGTGTTTTTTATTTTGCTTGCTTCCGTAGATAGTTATTCCGAGGAGGACGTGGTTTACCGCTGGCTGTACGAGCCCGAGAACGCCTCGGCCTCCATTGAGGTATCCGAAGACATCCGATTCTCCCAATTCTCGCTCAAGACGTGGAACGCCGAGAGGAGCGTCAAGGTGTCAGACCGGATTGGTGAGCACCATGCTACTCAGGTTCCTAAAACTAAATCCATGGTTTGTTTTAGGGCTTGGATTTCTGTGTTTTCACAATGTGTAAAGCATACCCATCTTGCCCATTGCGCCTTAAAAATGTTGTTTTCATCTTTGAAATGTTTGCTTTTGGGAATGTAAAGCGAATCGGTCATAAAAATTGCAAACGGTCGAGCAGACATCAAAACCCACAGCAAGGGGGAAAAAAATATTTGTACAAATCGAACATCAACACCAGTTTCTACACTTACACATGTTTATTTAGGAAAGTGCTGGAAGTGTAGGTTGGCGAGTGTTTGTTTTCACGTAGGTTTTACACTATGGAATATGCATAGGACTATAAATCACGACGTTCTATTTATGAAGAACTGGTCTTATTCCGACTATGAACATGTTACTCTACATATGCATTAAAATAATGTCTCTGGTGTACTGTAAAGGCGTGTTAAAGATGCATTCCTCGTGCTGTTTTCCAAGTTTGTACCACGAAAAATAGATTTGTTTTTCCACTTGCATTTATTTACCTTTGAATGAGACATCGAACGAAAAACACCGATATTTTAGTCATCAAATTATTTCTTTTCAAACTCCGAATTCTTTGCGGTCCGACAATAAATCGGCTCTTGCAGTGCGGGTTCATTTGTGCAGAACATGACAGCCCTTTTTCAGATAATTGCAGACGCCCAAAATCGGTAAAGGGTTGGGGTATTTCCCGTTAAAACTCGTTAAGAGATTTGAGTATTATTATTTTTTTTTAAGAGCACGGGCCACTCATCTCCAACATGATATTTTTTCACATAGTGGCCTTGAAGCTAATAAGAAAAATGGTCTTCAAAACCATATCTGCCCTTTTTTTTAATTTGGTTTGATTTGTCTTCTGTTTTTCGCAGGTAACAGGACTCAACTGACAGTGAAATTCCACCTGGCCCGTAACGCAGGGTTCTTCGTCATCTCCACCTACATTCCCTGCGTGTTGCTTGTCGTTCTCTCGTGGGTCTCCTTCTGGCTGAACAGGGAGGCCACGCCCGCTCGAGTTGCGCTGTGTAGGTGTCATAACCGGACCTCACTAACTTGGGAAAACTTCACAAGGGTTGTCAATTTGTGCTGGTCTCAGAGGGCGAACCCTGGTGTCCTCTTTGCAAGTGTACTCACTTACTGACTTACCCATGTCACTTGTTTCTGATCAATGATTTGGGACCACTTTTATGAAATTCATCCAACAAAGGTCAATTTCCATTGTAGGGATTGTACTGCCGTTAAAGCTCATAGAATTTTTTCCCTCACCAAAAGTGACTCCCCGCCTAAAATATAATCAAAGAAAGTAACTGTTACGTTCCGTCAGCGGTTTTCGAAACCTCATGAAAAATGTTTTCAGTCCTTCTGCATACCTCTTTTAATTCTTTCCCCTAAAATGATCCAAATTTAATTTTGTTATCGTCAACAGATATAGGATATTGGGTCTACTTGATGGCGATTATGATGAGTAAAAAAGATTCGCCAAAAACATCATTAACTTCCTGATATTAATTAGTAAACAGACCGCACTGTACAATCAAGATGACCCACATCAACTTTTCTCCGGTTCAGTCCTTTAAGCAAAATCATCACCCAAAAAATAGTCAAAAGTAATTAAAAGATAGCAATCAGTTATCTGCATGATCATATCATATCCATCAATTGGACCCAGTGGCCTTCAACTCCAATTCAAACTTTATATTAAAAAAACAAACAAATATGAAGACCAAAAATAAAACAAAAACCAGAGAAGAGATGAATTCCTAAGGGTCCAGCGCGCGCCAACACGGAAATGATTAAAGCAAACAAGCGACGCCGGCAGGGCCAGCGTGGTATGTGTGTGTGTGTTCCTCGGTAAATCACGCTCCACTCGGCACAGTCCACAATAATTGCAAATTAATATCATCTCTCTTACGGGCACGTGCATGACTGTAGAACCCGATTACGTCTGGCCCCCTGGCTGCAAATAATACGGTCATCACGAGATCTCTAATTGCCCCATAACGCCGAGACCACGAAAAGGCCTACAAGGGCTGGAATTGGGTGATAGAGGGTTTAGATATGACCTCATTTTGTTCTTGAAGAGCAACTTTGATGTCTTAATCCCTTTTTCAGCTGTTCCACTTAGAAAGGGAATCTTCTTGCAGGAGTTGTTTTTTACTGATCTGAGGAAAAGTAGACCACAAGAAGATCTTTGATCTCTTTTTTTTTTACCAACATCTCCTGGCCGTTATTTTTACCGTCACTTCAGAAGGAATTAAACAGGTTTGTCTTTCAACAGCATCCTCAAAAATCGATTGCAAAATGTATGGGTTTTGGTCTCGATATTCTTCTAATTGAGAGGACAACTGATAATACCCACAATTCCTGAGAATCATTGTATTTCACAAGAGGGCGCACTTCCGTACACTGTTGTAAATAATTACCAACACGTCTCCGAGTTTTCCATTTTCCAAACCTCGTATTTGACTTAAGTTTTCAGCTTTTATAACTCACTTCATGACAAAGCAATTCAAAACAATTTAGTACCATATGTGTTGCAGATAATGAAGCTGTGGTAGAAAAAAATAGGCTTAAACTGAACCAGGGCATCCTAGGTCACGAGTCAAAAGCATGAAGCTCAGTGGAGCACGAAGCCAAACCTGCAAAGAAAGCCACGTTTTCAATAAATGAAGTACATTTTGTAACTCCCTTGGGTCGACATTCTCACTTCCACAACAAAAAATACAACTGATCTTCACCGCTTCAGCGATACATTAGCCGAACGCATACCCCTCGTGACTTTGACACATTGGCTGAATTAAACGTACACAATCTCCGCGCACGGCTCGCACCTTCTCTCGCCGGTTCGTCACAGATTTTACACCCCGGGGAAGCGACGCGTTTTACCCGGTGGGTGATTCCCAAGTGAGGTAGCTACTACGCTCTTTCCCAATCACCTGCTGTAGGTAAAACAATTACATCGGTTCTTCAAGTGTACACAAGTCGCTTTTCTATTTTTCCTCTAGTCGTTGCACTTTTGTAAGCGATACGCCATCAACACGAAATCGATCGTTTTGGGAGCTAGCGGAAACTTGTCTCGGCCGCCGTAATGCGTGCTGCAATGGACCCCTCCCTTCTCCTGTAGGGGGTTATGCCGATTTTACGTTCTTAGCAAAGTCGTTGCTTAGTCGTTCGATCGCATTGTCGTTTCCTCTGCATTAAAACAGTTTGTTCCAGTGGGGGGGGGGGGGGACAGCACCTTAATTTGCGCAATTAAACGGAAGCTATTTTCGTGCAGGTGTTTTTTACACCCTTCTATTTCCATTTCAATAGGAATTCTGGGAAAATGTTCTCCACGACGTCCTGTTATTTTTATCCATGAAAGTTGATAACGACACTGGCGTTTGTGGCGAAATACGGCGGCTGACAAAGTCTAATCGAAAATTGAACCGGAAATAATTGTTCATTGGTGTCAGAATGCCTGGTTGAACAAGTTCATCACATTAAAATCTGACAATGTAAATTTCAAATGATCTTTTCTCCTACTAGGCAAAAATAGAATGTAAATGAACTATCTTTTTTCTTAGTTATCTTTCTCGCAATTTGTAACCGCTTTATAGTGTATCAGTACAGCTTATAACTATGCACACTGGACTAACAAAATGAGTTCGTGTCACGTGATAAATTACAGCGCCCTCTGTTGTATCTTGTTTAGTTTTGACATGAAAAAGTAGATATAAATAAGAAATAAGAAGTGAGGCATATTCATTTAGCTTGCTTGCAAATACTAGAAATGTCACAGCCTAGGTCTAGGAACATCATGGAATGACTCCTGTCACAAAAGAACAAATTTTTTTCAAAATTTGATCAAACATTCCTAATCTATATCATATCCTAGAGGGCGCCCTGGGGAGAGATTCACTTAACATTCGATTGGTATCAGTGAAACAGAAAATTCTTTTTATCTGCAACTAGATTTGGAAACATTCTACCCATTCTTGAAATGCAACATGCACATAACGTCCTCAGGGACACTACACACTACAGATACAGTCTCCCCGTTACCCACCGCGCTGCCACAATCGTGTACGAGGACACTGCTAAAATCTTCATGAAATTCCCGAACAAGATAATTCTTGACCAGAGGCGGTTTTACCTTGTTCCCATCAATGTTGAATATGCTTATATAGAGTTCGGTACACTTCAATGAACGGACGATATCGTTGAGACTCTAATCCAACGCGGCAGCATATGTGTTTCTGATGTCAAAAAAAAACGCATGCAGAGTGACTCGTACTAAAAGCTTCGGCCTAGGGGCGACGGCACGGTCTGTTATTCCCGTATGTCGTCCCTCTTCCGTCTTGCTAACATCGGTTACTTTTGGAGAGACTTTCCGGTGAAACACCTTCTAGCGATAATCATAATGCGAACGACAAAGCAATATAATTTAGGAATTCTTTTAAGAAAATAAAATCAGTTCACAATTTTCTCGAGGCCTTTCGTTTGGGCTAATCTTATTGACGAGCGTTGTTTTGCAATAATGAATGGGACACGTTATTTTTAAGGCAAGATAATGGAAGAAACGAAACCTAGTAAATTTTACTATGCCAAAAAAGTTAATAAATCAATGTATAAAAAACGCACCATCCTTTCTTACGTGCTTTTGTATCTCCACTTCTCCAGTATCTTCGTGACCACTATGTTTGAATTTCCTGAGAGAAATTGAACGCAAACACACTATTAAACCGGCACTTATTCAACCATTTAATACCCAAGGTGCAACATTTTACTAATTTCTCACTTTGTCAACCTCGTATCTTCGTGTCCAGGTATCATGACCCTACTGACCATCACCACCCTGGGCTGGAGTTCCCGTGCCGTCCTGCCCAAGGTCAGCTACGCCAAGGCCATAGACTGGTTCATCGTTATGTGCTTCGGCTACGTCTTCGCTGCCATGGTGGAGTATGCCGCCGTCAACTACTTCACCAAGAGACGGGCTGGCATGCTACCTGGAATGGCCGATGATGACGACGATGACATGGCACAAGCTGAGGTAGACCTCCCCCTCCCTCCTTCTTAACCCCGCCCATACCACCGTATATTCTTATCCTTTTCCTGCAAGTAAAACCGATTAGATACTCTCTAAATTCTAAAGAGTGAAAATTCACTCCATTCGAGTAAAGATTCAAGTCTAGTCCCTAATTTCACTCGTTGGAATTTAGAGAGTATCCACTTGCCGTTGTATTCGGTACCCACAATCAGTATTAATTGGAAGTTGGACTATAAAAGGACATTGTTTGATGTACCTAAATTCGGAGTTGATGTGTATGACTGCGAAAAGCAAGGCATTTGGTGCACATATAGGGTTACAATGAATTAAGTAAACGGAGCCTCAACCTGATTCGGCTTGAATTAAGATATTTCACGGTCTTTCTTGATACCCATACCGGATAATGATACGTGTACTTACTGCAGTGGAATATTTTCAATTGAAACCCAGTCTTTCTTTCATCCCAAAACCAACACCATCAGCTTCCTTACAACAACTTTTCGACATCGAGTATCCCAGGCTGCAAGTTTCCCCATTAAAAACTGAATGCTAATATTGCTGCCACCACCTACGCCAATGCGGATCCAATGTTCAAATCCTTCGTGAAGTTATTATCGACAGTTTATCATTTTCCTTGGTATTTACTTATATAATGTTTACGGTCTTCTTTCTTCCATTTCACAATTAAGGCAGAGAACGTGGAGGCCACCCTCCGCAAGAAGCGTCGCTTCACCCTCCTGAGCAGCCTGACCCGCTACAACATCAAGGTCAAGAACCCCGAAGACTCCACCAAACAGTCCTTCCTGATGGATCTACTCAGCTGCATCTGCGGCAACGCCGAGTACCGCAATGCCCGGCTGCGGCAGAGCCGGGCCTCCGGGAAGCCCTTCAACAGCGTCAGCCGGATCGACGTGGCCTCACGCGTCATCTTCCCGGTGTCCTTCATACTATCCAATGGTATCTTCTGGTTTGCCTACAACTAAGGAGCTGGCAACATTGTCTACAAATTTAACAGCTCGGTACAGAAAACATCCGAATATTTGGTTCCGAAATTGTAAAATGAACAATAAAAAGCGAACCGTTTGACATTTATAAAATTAAAGCCTTGCTAGCTTGCATCGTCCACCTTCTCAAAAACAGAATATGGTATTTTATAAGAAGGGTGTAAAATATTTCAAAATTGTTCTCATTTCAATACTGTTAAAAGTGTGTTGGTTGCTGAAGAAGTGCTGATTCTGTGAATACATTATTTAATACCAATTTAAAGTCTTATAAAATTGCGTGTTATGTAATGAAAATATCCGTGTGAGGAAATAGAAATTAAATCGATAATTAGTTATTGATAACTCACTTAAAAAACTCCGCGTATAGACCCCCCCCCCAAAAAAAAATGAATTGTACTACGGTTAGAATTTGTAGCGATTGATGAATTTATAATTGGCATAGTTTGATACAACTAATTAGAGAGTTTTCCTTAGTCTGTATATTTGTGTCAATTATTTTTTTTTTATATTTCATAATGTCTTGGGACTTCAAACGTTCAATTCTTAAATTATTTATTTATAATTGGGAGAGGCACACGCTAAATAAAATTGTGATATCCTAAGAAAATGTAGTCATAAATTTCTTTCCGTATTCAGATCTTTTTTTTTTTTTTTTTGGTTTGTTCGTAGCTCGGACCATTGAGTGTGGGTTCTCCTTCACTTTTCCTGACAAATTGCCGTCATATCCGGCTGAAATGAGACTAGTCGAGGAGCATAAATTACGCATCAGGTTCTAGCCTCCTGCTCGTGACCTTTATGAAGTGGTTCTTACGCCTTCCAAGTAAAAGAAACACATAAAACTGGCAAAGGCAGACTGATGCCACAGACTACGGTCATTAGACTCAAAACCCAACACCACCGTTCCTACACTTCAGAGTTCAAACAATTTGGTCGTTTTCGTTCAAATTCATACTCGTGAATTAGGAAGGAGGATGCTCGTCTAAATTTTAGTCTAATGATCCAATTCAAACAAAAACTGTCGTTTGAAACCATCTCTTCCCGCTTTTAACTCTGAGTAAGCCAAACGATGTACAGTTCCAGAAAGGCAGGAAAACAACGTTGCGGAAAATAACATCTAGTGCTTAAATCTACCTGCTTCACTTCACTCATTAATTATGCAGATTTCTATCATGGATAAAATAATAACCCTTTCTCGAGATCGAGAGAGTCATTACCCGGGGTTGTTTGCTTGGATTATACACCGGGTCGGCATTACTGCAATGTCAATACGGAGAAGGAAAAAAAAGTGTGCAGATCAGCCCGCGGTCTTGAAGGCCGAAACTGCGAATGTAAACATGGCGAGGTAAAAACTGTATCCAGTATGGCTGTGCACGCGCACTACTTGTTTGTTTTGAAGCTACGCGGGATGGTGATGATGTTATTTTAACCTCAAATTGGTTGCTCCATTATCGTCAATTTAAGCGGCTTAGCATTCGGTCATTTCCAGTTTCTTGTTGGGCACTCGGGCAGTCAAATGAAGATTCCGGAGTCTTTCCTGACGGTAGAGGGCGTGCCCCAGGTCAGCCTGCGTCTAAATGGATTTTGTGACACAGTAGACACAGCAAGGTCAAGATCAGGGCAAGATCTGAATGTTTTTACGAACTTGGGGGACTGCTTGCTGTTTGTTGATAGCGAAAAATCGAAAAAGCGTGGAGAATAGCGACCAAAAGGCCCAGAAAATAACAATCGTAATATTTTTTATATATAATAGAGGGCGCCATTCCATTTTGTGGCGTTACTAACTTCAGTATAGAGGGCGCCCTAGTACAATTTTTCTTTTCGCATCGATTTTAGTGGTGGCGCTATACGAAATACAAAATAAAAGTCGTAAATGTATCCTTTAAAAAGTAATTATGGTATGTAGACTCTTTTAAAATAAAGATTAAAATGTGGCCGCAAAAGGGGTAATTTTCAAAAAACAATTCATACAGAATTTACTGCATTTCAAAAATTTATGTAGAGTCTGAGTGCTGCTGGGAAGTAAAATAAATTACAGAGAAAGTATGGGTCTCCAACTCTCCTCCTCAAAGTACCCAGTGCATGTGACTTTGCTCATATTAATTTATTTCATCTATTGCTTCTGCTTATTTTTTTTCGAAATTCTATGCGACAATGGTGTGTGTAGACATTCATTTTATTCCCATATTAATACATTTTAGTCGAGCGCCCTCATTTGACCATTATTTATTCTGTAAATATTGAGGGCGCCCTAAACGAGACCATTAGATTGTGGGGTTTTCCTTGTGTGTTTTGTGAGTCATTTCCTGTCATTTATCTGTCAATTTTGTACCCACTTTGTGCATTCTTTGCTGGTCAGTAACTGTGCGACATTCATGACTGTGCCAAGATCTGATGTCTGTAAGAGAGTTCAAATATTGAGTGAGTATAAACATCCGTCTTCTCTTCCGAAAATGAAATATTTTGGGACCGGCCCACATCTGTTTTTGTCTGACTTTGCTGATTCCCAATGTTCACTTTGTGTCCACACACAGAAGTTCCTTGCTCTATGTTCCAGCTGTCTGCATTGATTCGTTTTGCCAAAGTTTTGTATGAACCTAAAGTTAAGATTGCCCATAGCAGCCATTGAAATGCAGGCTAGGTTACTTGTAGTCTGAGTAATTTGGACCCAACTTATCGCCTTGTGTAGAAACACTTGACGCACGAGATTGTACGGGTACCGGACCCAGACAGCTCCTACCATTTCACGCGTTCATGTCTCGGAGAACCAGCATACCGTGCATGACTTCAGAAATCAAAAGTTCAGCTCATGCATTTGTTGTCGTGTCAAGGTCGTTTTTTTCCCGACAAATTTCTTGGCAATGCAAGATCCTACACTCGCATGAATTTACAGAAAGCTTTGTATGCAAGTACTAGTTATAATAATTGTGAAATGTCGTGCCGTGTGACAATTTTGAGTGTATTTACACGACGATGAAGTGTGGCGCTGTTTACAACGCCAAGTTCACGGGTCTAGGTTAAAGTGGGGAAAGAATGTTGCATCCTGACGCTACTTTTTTCATCATTGCCTCAAATCACTCAATGAAGGTCAGTCATTGCAAGAGAAAAATGATGAAAAGACGTGTGAATCAGGGGCTGAAATGACTGAGAAACATTTCCCATTTTGGAAATGCACTCGACTCTCCATAGACTTTGTAAACAACAAAAGGAGTGGCATCAGGATATTTAATTCTTTCCGTAAGTGGTATTACACGTATCATACATTGAGCCAAAGTCAGCAGTTGTTGGGGAGGGGCAGACAATAGGCCTATCCTTTTAGTTTTAACTAGTGATCAATAACGTTTAGGGGAGGGGTACTCATAATAATTTTTTTTCAAAAGGTTGGGGGTTGGGGAATACCTCTATCCCCAGGCCACCCGTACCCCGCACCTACCCTGCCTTGTTTTCTATATTTCTTTACAGATAAATGTATCAGACATGTTCATGTTTAAAACTGGTTTGCTTAAATCTATATTTGGGGGCTTTTAAAACACCCTTTCCTTTATCACAAGGGAAGTATATTAGTATTCAGTTGTGAGAACTTTATTTGATGCCCAGAAAGACAGGAAATCTAAATTTCAATGGAAATGTACCAAATTGATTTTAATATTTTCCAATCCTCTTACCTCATCTTTTTGTTGAGGTAAGAGAATTTGTTCACAAAGATTTGAATACTTTTTAACACATGTTTCGAAAATATTGTTTATATTCTGACAGAATATTAAAAAGCAATGGTCCAGCAGTGATGTTGATTTAAAATTCCATTTTTAGAAAGGCTGCAAATGATGGGATGTTTGGTCTGTATATTGTATGGGGTATGTCATATCCTGATGAAATTTCTTTAAAGGTTCATGAAGTTTAGTTTCAGAAAAATTTCATTCAGATGTTTGAATTGCATTCAAATAAAATTGGTATTTTTTTATTCCTTTTCGGTGAAGTTAATTGTTACTTCAAAGTGACTGTTTAAAATTTTACTTGAGCTTTTGTAGAACTTTTTATTTCCTCTTAAGTCAATCCAAATACATGTACACACAGGAAAAGTACAGTTACGAAATCCAGGTTTCATTTGGTCTATAATATACTTTATTTGAATGCATGATTCCAATTTCTTAAGTATTGGAATTGTATTGTCTATTTTGCCCCTTAAAAATTGTCTACAGATATTTAAATATATACTGTGATATCCTTTTCCTTCCTAATGGATAGATCTGCCATTTACTTTAAAAATGTCTGACCTTGGCCCTTCTTTTCCTAAGCTTGGTCACTCTCCAATAATGTTAAAACCATCTGGTGACTGATGAGCATTTAGCCTAAAAGTCATCCCTTTCCCTCAAATCAGAAGTCAGGCACAGCATAGTCTTGTACCACACACATCGCAAGACTGCATGACTTTATATGGCCACAGCCCTATGTGGTCCAACAATGGCGGCATTGTAAATAATAAACAGTGTTGGCCTTTGATGATAACACATGTGACCTTCGGGTGCAATCATTGGGGTTGTGGGGCTAGGATGTTCTGTTTCCTGTCCCCACTTTATTAATGCTGATAGCAGTTATAAATTGGCCCTCTGTTTTGTTTCCCATTGGCCCATGATGGCCCTGTTAAGTTTTGAGGGTTTTTTAAAGTGCCATTTCCCTTCAGCTGTTAGGTTGTTTATATAAGGACAAGGCCTGATAAGGAAAGCATGGAGAATCATCATTAACTTCACAGCTCCACAGCAGAAACAAAGAAATCTGTATGCTTGAAAACTTGCTGCCTGGTGGAACATTCGCCACACTCAATCCCTTAACAAAAATTTGTTTGTCATAAAGTTACCCAATTCCCAAACTTTATTATGATGATGTGTTTCAATAAGGCATCCTGCTTCAAATCAATGTTGTCAAATTGAATTGGAACAGACATCAATTACAAAAGTCACAAGATGGGTTTGTTCTTTGATCATTTTAAAATCCAAAAGATCCAGCTCAGCATTAGGGGTGTGTGTGGGAACCGAGAACCCGACAGTTGATGTCAGGAATCGGTTCCAGATTATGGGATCGGGTACCCGTAACCAACTTTACAAATTACTTAGTAAACTTCTCAGACAATTATAAAGAAAGGTTTGGATGTCATTTGTGGGAACTTTTCAATATGAAAACCAGGCTACATGGAAAAGCAAAATGGATTTCACATTTTAAAGTGCATTTTACAGATAAGGCTCGCAGAAGTTGCCGTTTACACCGTAAACCATTCAGACAACTTCCAGGATTTGAATTTTGGGGTTGGGTTTCTAGTTTTACGGGTACCCGGGTAACCGTGGTTTAACTCAGTAGGGTACCCGGTTCCCGTAGTTTGTGACCCGTAAATGCACACCACTAAGCTGCATGGAAATTTATTTCCTCACAGACCTTTTGATATTTGCTTTTATCCTACATTGTAAATATTAGACAAAAAGAAGAAATATCTATTTGGAGATCAACCTGCAAAATGGAAAAAGTTTATAAAAATAATTGCTGAATTTCTTAACACATGAATGAAAACGCTCAAAAACCAGAAATTATGTGCCTTTAAATGCATTCGAAACATAAAATATTTAAATACTTGAATAACATTTTTAAAAGCCTTTTGTCCATTCCCTTCTGTTCAGCATTGTTCTCTGTTGTTTAACCACATCCCTGAATGAGCTGATTATATTGTTCCCCCCCCCCCAACCAATTTAGCCTGGGACTGATTTTTACCACATCTGCCTCACCAGTCTTTTATCTACAGGAAGTGCGAGATTAAAGTGACCAGATTTTTTTTAGATCTCTCGTGTCAAAAGCCCATCAGAGAGAGGTTTAACAAAGAGCTTCGTGGTTGTATTAATAAAAAGTGCATTCGCACTGCATTCACACTGACCAGGCATTGTAAGAAGTCCGCAGCTTTTGAGCTTTTACCCGAGTCGAAAAAGGACTAGCTTGTCCATCAGTGAATCATCCGACCTGAAATTCATTACTTGACTGGCAACTAGAAATGTGTTGGTTGGGTATTTAATCCTGACCTCCCCCCCCCCCCCTCTCCTTCCGATACGCACGTTTGTACGTGGGGAGAACCCTGATGGAGGTACATTGTAGGAAAGACACTAAAAATTACAAATTGTTGGCCAACAAATAATTAGTCATTGCACAACAATTTGACACTCAGTAGAAAGATTTATAATGAAAAAGACACACAAGGCTTGTAAACTCGGAATGTAATTCTATGTTAACGGCTGTAACTTCTGAGTCAATGCTTTGAGTAGAGATTTTACCAGTAGGTGGTGCTTGTTTCTTTTATTGTGCACATTTAGTTTCGTGTGGTATGTTATTGGCCACTTGGCTGTTCAATTACAAATAGCCATAGGCCCACACATAACCACACAAGAGTCATATCACCTGGGAAATAAACACACAAGGTCTGTATCCTGGAGGAACATTGTAACTTACGCCTCATCACATGGGAATTTGGCCAGAATGAGTGCTTTGTTATCAAAAGAATGAAACCGTTTGTTGAATATCTTGTGTCTAATCAGCATCAAACTCAGACTAATTGGGAAGGTTCAAATAATTGATTTCTCGTATACTTCCCAGCTTTCAAAAATTTGGACTATTTTTTTTTTTTTTCGCGGGACTGTAGTCTGCTCATCCCATTTTTCAATTAAATAGTGAAATTTGAACCGAAATGTCTGCGTTTTCAATTTAGGATACCCTTTCTTCATTTATTTAAGCCACTACAACAGTGTAAACAATTGGTTTCACCATGGTATCACATCCAATTATCACATGTGCAACATCTGATGAAGTGATGTCAACCTTGAATTTCTAAACAGATTTTTCTGTCTTTGAAGATAAGTTTTTCCATAAATTGGAGGGGAAAAAGTCATCACAAGCTGATGATACCTGGTAATATTTTTTATGCAAGTGAAAAGAGTATTATTTTCTTGTTTCTCTTTTGTAAACACACTGAGGTGAGAAGTTTAATTCCAAAGACGTTGCAAAAAAAACCTATTATGCCTTTTTTTTTCAAATAAAACCCATACATAGTGTCACTCTCCAAAAAAAAAATCAAGGTATTTAAACAATCTTTCCTTGGGCCTACAATCCCATAAAAATGAGCTACAAATTGTGACAATTTCTACCAATTTTCCTATGGTCACAGAAGGGAAATTTCCCAACAGTTTTCTTGGAATACAGCCAACAGATGACTAATCCAAAAGGACAAACCATAAACTTAAATTGTCGGCTGCAACATAATCCCCCGCGGAATGCCAGAGCACAAAGCTGTTACACACCTACTACTGCTGCATTAGGCAGTCTTTGGCAATACAAACAATAAGGGCCAGTTAAAAGGCCAACACCACAATTGACACCTCTTTTCCTGTCCCTATTCTTAAACACAAACCCCAAGTGTTTTCAGGACACAGGATACAAAGGGCTTGTATTGTGGATTGGGGGGGGGGGGGTATGGGTCCATGACCTAACCACAGGGTGGGCCATTTGGGGGTGAACTCACCCAGCTGAAATGTAGAGTGCACAGGGACCTGTGATGAGAATGATCTGAACATAATACACAGGCAGTGAGGATAGGAGCATGCACATCGAAATTTCTGTGAGTGTTCATGATACTTGTTAGTCTTATACATACCTGTGCATTTTGCATATTTGCTGAAGGTACGTTTATGCACTCTTGAGAATTTGATGAAGTTCTTATTACTTTTTTCTGTGAACATGTGTGAGCATATGCTGTGTGTTTTTGTGCAGGTAAATTTGTGGTTCATGATCATTACATGGACATGATGGAGGTAGGGATAGATTTTACTACATCAGTACATGTACCTCCATGATCGTTCTTACATGATCTCGCCCTTGAAAATTAATAATAAATAAAAATATGTTGGCTTGTTTAAAAATTTCTAAAAAAATACCAAGTAAAAGAAACATGTTCTACAGTCCTGTTCCATCTTAATTCTTATGGATAGTTTTGTTCTGGTCATTCGTTTTCCAAAATAATTCATGGAACAGCACTCGGATGCAAATAACATTTTTCTTTGAACCAAGTCAACCAACCTGCAAAAATTGAACAATTTAACACTAACTTGCTCCATTCATTTCGCTTTTGAAAAAATGCTTTTTAATTTATACGGTCAGTTTCTGCAACTTGTCCATAGTCAGAACTATGAGTCTGCTCAAGGTTGTGTCCTATGTTGTACAGATTACTGGTTTTTAATTACCCAGCGAAACCCATCTGGTCACCACAGGGTGTGGGCTGGGTCATGGGTAATGGGCTATCTAATGTCAGATTGTACCTGCATTGATACCAAATGAACTTTGCCAGGCCCATTGTTAGGCCATAGGCTGAATCCTAGAAATGTCTGTAAACTCTTCTACAGGTCTTTTTTTTCCTCCAAGTGGATCTACTTTCCATACTTGTTGCCATGGTTACATGGATTCCAATCACGGAGTAATTGCAGAATACCCCGCCACGCGAAAATTACCCCCTAAAAATAAATGGCTACGCAGTCGGAAAATGTTGCAGAAATGTCCAAAGTACATGTAGATGTCGGGAAGTGGATACGCGGATACAATATACGGGGTGGAGTTGAGCGCTGGAGGGTCTAAAGAGGGCGCTGTTTCCCTGTAATAAGAAATGCGGCTAGCAGGGATAACGTGAATTGAATGGGGAGCAGGGGTTAAATAAATCTAAGTCCAGAGTAGGTGCCAGGAAGTGGATACGCGGATACAGGGATACGGGGTGGACTTTATTTTTAGCGGAGCAAAATATTTTTGAGAACGAGGCATCCATATCCATGTTGGAAAATACCGAAGGCAGAGACAACGTGAGTTGAAAGTAGGTGCCGGGAAGTGGATACGGGGATACGGGGTGGACTTTAGCGGACGCGCATGCATGTGATTTTGGTTGAATTGAGCATCCAAGCGTGACTCCGTATCCGCGTATCCGGATACGAGGTGGGATAGGTGAGTGGCGGGGTATTCTGCAATTGCGCCCCAATCACTCCTTGTACACCACTGACACAGGTACCATAATTTTGCAGGATGCTTGAAACTATTATGCACTTACAGTCAAGTAAGGTACATGTATTTTGTTATAATTTAATAGATTTGTTTTTTGATGGTTGCAAATGTTTTAAATTCCCTTTAAGTCCTATCCCAGAATTAACAGAGCATTTCCAACTTGCTCCTTGTCTGGGCTGCCTATAATTGACAGCAACAACAAAATCATCTCACTGCTTGACCCAGCACCATGTGCTTAAAATACATGTAGTCTCCATCCCAGGGATAGGTTAACTAGACAGCCAGGTTCATGGTAGGCCAAGGCCGGACGAAGACAGGCTTGGGGGTGGGGAAGCAGAAGAAAAAAATCTGAGTTGCAAGATGCGACAAACTTGTGGCTTGGAATCATGAGTGCCATCCTCAAAATTCTTGAGGGAAGCGGTAATGGGTTTTTGGAATACTTTGGGTTTGGGGGTCTGTCTGTTTATGGAAAGATATTTTATTACCAGTGCCAGTTATTTTAATGGCATTAACAAATCGTGATGGGATTTCTATGAGAACCCTTCACATGGTGATTTTTTTTCTTTTTTGAAAATAATGTAAATCTGGTGTTTTTGCATGAGAGCCATTATAAGAAGCTTCATTAATTTATTAAAAATTAGGTGGTGGTTGTCGAAATGAAGTACAAAAACCAGCACTGGAAAGTGCTCGTTTTAAGTTTGATGTTGTATAAAAACTTGGATAAGAGAGTTTTCACTATGTGATGGGTTTTCTTGTTTACAAGTCTCTTCCCAATATTTCAGAAGCAGATACGCGGGCTTTATATTGTAGGGCCCCTCTTTAGTTTTGATCAAATCAGAGTGAAAGGTGTTTTTTTATCATTGCAACCTAAAGCAGACTTCTCTTATTTCTAATGACATCATTTTTAGTAATTTTGAACGTTTTCTTGCGGTAGAAAATGAGATTGTCTCATGCGTTGTACGGTTGGTGCCATGGGAATCAATGTGGTTTTCCGTGTTCATGGTACATTGCGGGGATTGCCATTTGTATTTTCGTGTTGCTCTTTGTCGTTTGCATCGTTGCTTTACCCCAAAACTTCCCTCAAAAATTAAAAACCTGCCCTCTATCCTAAGGCATACCAGCTGGTTTGTAATGTCGCTAAATAAATTGGCAAGCCCAATAACCTAAAAGTGGGGGTTTTTTTCCCCTTATTTTATAGGAAACTGGGCCCTACTCTAAACAATTGCCAAATGTTCTACATGTAGGAACAGTCCCAGGGATAGATTTATAAGAAATTGTTTTTTACTCCAGAGGAGAAATTCCATTGTCGGTAGTAAAGAAATTTAAAAATATCACCGAAAGCAAGGGTTTTCATTCCGCTAGCCAACATTTTTATTCAAGCATGTAGAAGTTTCCTACGATATTATGCCGTGCATATATGCCGAAGCTCTAAACAGGTATATTATCAGGGATAACGATCGGCAAGAATGCCAGCGGCAAATGAACCTGTGTGATGCGTCGTCCTAGGATTCATTAATTAAAACAGAGACATGCCGTGGCATGTTCAGTATGGGATGGGTAGTGTCATAATAGTGACTGTGTAATGAACATCCGTCATTCGACAAATCTGAACACGTACGCGCTTGTAATAGGCGTATTTTTAAATGAATGTATACAGGCTTGTATGCATGATGCATGACGCATGCTTGTATGCAGATTTATGTGTATGTACGTAGTGTAAATTGTGTGCAAACTATGACTAAACAAACAAACACATGATGTCTAGCTTGTACATGTGTGTACATGTCTCATGTACATGTATGTCTGTGCACAAAGTGTGAGAGAGTTCAGATACACGTATTGATTCATGGTAAAAAAACAATAACAATTTCGGCCCGAACTTCATGAAGATGTCTTTAAATTGTTTAAGTGTTAAGAAAAAAAGCAAATATAAGCTGAAAATCATTTCAGCTTGAAATTTTGCTTTTGCTGACCATTTCTTTCATGTAATTTATCCAGGGTTTTTTAGGTCGTGGGTTCGAGTCCCACTTGAGTAAGCGTGTGAATTGTTTCTCCCATGCCCTCAGACTATGAGTATACATTGTTCATAAAATACGTTGGCGAAGGGCAAGACCTGATATCTCCCAATGCAGATTTTAAATAAAAAGTGAGGATTTTTTTGCTGTTTAGTACTTTACTGTAATAAATACAAGTATCCATGACATATTTATTTCCTTTTTTTTTCACTAAGAATTCAAGTGATTACCCCTCTTATTAATAAAGTTGGTTCATGTAATGTTAATGCCTTAATGAGTCAGCCACAACAAAAATGTGGCATTCAGATCAGAAATTCTTCGCTTAATGATCCTTGGCTTTAATCTCATCAGTGATGTTATGATGATGAATTTCTGACATGTTTATGTAATCATCAAGAGAATCTGTGCTTGTGATAGCAGACGCTGGGCCTAGCAGACGGATATAACAATCAATCATATAAGATGAGCATCAGCATTCATCACTAATAGATTTCATTTCACTCCCCTGAAACCCTGGAAAGGCTACACTTTTATGCTGGTCCTCGATCAAGCGTGTTTACATTGAGAAAGAATGGACTTATTTTGCATTCACGGTCCTGTTGTTTTCATGACTGTTTATTTTGTTCACTCGCAGATTGTGGCGTGATGCACTGCACAGCCCAACATCAGGGCAAAGATTGCCGTGACTGGGAGCAATGTACAATTGTACATCGTCACATCTGGACGCCAGTGTAAGAGGAGACTGCTCACGTATCTTGGGATGAGTTGAACGAGGAGGTCGTCAATCGTTATGACTGCTCGTCCAAACTCGGATCGAAAGCAATACATCATCAGGAGTGGTTACTGTTACACAAGACTTCAAAATTGATGTCCTGAGTATGTCAAGTGAAGAAAGGGGATTCAATGAAGAAACACCACTGCCAAATGTGATAGACATCCCTTCGTCATGTTTCTGAACCAGATGTATCTTTGAAAGTCTTGGGCGTATTCATGGACAAAAATCGTAATGTTTCTGAATCCTAGTCGCAGGTGACGTATCTTTTCAAACTCTGACAGAGTATCTTTTCAAACTCTGAAAACTTGCCATGATGATGGACTTCGACGAGTTAGACGTCGGCTGCAACGCGGACTTCACCCTCCACCGCGCCAACGAGCACTACAGCAGCCAGGCGCTGCGGCTGATGCATGACTTGCGCCAGTCGCGCAAGCTCTGCGACATCCGCTTGCGCGTCGCGGGGCAGGAGATACTGGGTCACCGGGTCGTGCTGGCCGCGTTCAGCCCGTACTTCTACGCCATGTTCACCGGGGATATGTTGGAGGCTAGCCAATCAGAGGTGGTCATGAAACAGGTGGATCCCAGATCAGTGGAGCTGCTTGTGGAGTATGCATACACAGGTAGAAATGTTACATTGTATTAAAATGTTATGTCATTGTATTACAATATTACATACATTGTTATACATTGTATTTAATCCCTGGTGAATAAAACCATGCAGCGCTGTGGAGATGGTTTTGGGCTGTACAGAGATAAAAAATTGAACTTCACTGGATTTTCATTTTTGACAATGATTCCAATATTTCTGTTTTCATCGAATACTTGGATATGTGAACAAAGGTACAGAAAGCTTCACACTATCGCCATAGAAACCTATGATTCAGATCCCCAAATAGAAAATGAGAAAAGACAAGTTTGTTATTAAAAGGTCATTTTTCTCGTTTGATCTCTCCCTATTTCCTTTCCAAGTATTTGATGTAAATTTACAGCATTCATACATGTACATTTGGTACAAATGAATATTCATATTTTGATATTTGGCACAACCAAAAAATGACTGATTTTGCTAATTGTTAACACAAAAATAACAGAGGGTGCCATAGTTTCAGGCCCAAGAGAAACCTCCAATAAACAACATAATTCTTGGGGACGTTTTTTAATGAAACCATTAATATGCATGCAAACGCTTGGCAGTGTACAGCCAGTGTATAGGGACCCATCAGGCGTGAAGCCTTCACGCTTGTCGAATGTCTTCATCAATGAAGGGTTCTTCATGTGCAGCCAAGTGACTGAGCATGGAAAGGGTCACTATCCCGCTCAGCAGGATTGTCCCTCCATGACATAGTTTGCTTATTTTGGGCTTCCATTTTAAAGGGAATACACATCATTTGCTTTTGCTGTAATTTTCAGAAATGGATGGAATTGGGGGGTTGGAAATATATAGCAAATATAGTTACACTGACTTTTTTGAGGTTTTGGGTTCGAAAATGCTATAAAAACCAAGAAAAACAATCATTTTCCTGTAGTCTGGTTCCCTGACTCCATATAAGAAGAAACAGAGCAGTTTACATACATTGGGGAATTGTAAGGTCAGGGAACCAGTCTAGCTGGCTTGTACCCGTTCATAGGTGTGTAATCGATTGCAAACAAGTGCGATGGTCAATTGGGGCCAGTATTTGAAAAAAAGCCAATTTTTTTCCAACGCTGGTCGGCCGACAATTTGATACAAAAATACCACTTTTCTTGAAAATGACAGTATACCAGGTGCCATGATTTTACAGGATGCTTTACACTGTCATTCACTAACAGTCTAGCAAGGTATTTCAAAATGATTTGGTAGTTTTATTTTTTGATGTTTGCAAATGTTGTATTTTCCCTTTAATACTAGATTGTATTTTTGGTTGTGATTTTATCAACGCTTGCGGTACAGACAAGAACTCCTTTTCTGTTTTTTGTTTTTTGTTTTTTTTGCTTGTTGTTTTTGTTTTGTTTTTTAATTGGGAGAAATATATGAATGTAATAAGCAACAATTGATTAACAATACAAGAATTCATATTAATGTACCCTTGAGACATTTTTTCGTCATAAGTTTTAACTTGGGGAGACACCAGACACGAGGGAGACATTTCAATGTCTCCCTCGTGTCACAACAGCTATTTAGAGGAAATATTATATTAGAGAAAAAATAGGCTAGATCAATTGCTTGTTGTCCAAAGCATAAATGTACCAAAATGTGCGGGGTAGGATAGGGACAATTGTGGTTAGGGATCATTAAAGTTGAAAAAAAAAACTTGTGCACAAACCTATGGGAATGTCCCCCTAAGGCCAAAAAAAAAAGTCTCCGGTTTCTGGTATGGAGCTTGCCAAAAAAGTGGTGCGGCGACGCGGCTTTTTTTTTTTTTTTACCTGATTTTTTTTGCTTCAAATGCAGGCTGATGACTGCAAATGGTGCCCGACTAAACTTAGTGCAAATATATGGGAGTCCAGAGAGGCCACATAAAGCTTATTCTCGACCATAACCCAATCTAAAAACATGTTAAAATTGTGCAGCAGCAGGATTCCAGTCAAACCAGTGAGTTAGGCGGTTTTGAGACATCATCTTTCATTGAAAAAAAAAACTTGTTCATTTTGCCGACGCGCATGGCTACGGCGACACGCGCGCATACCAGAAACCGGAGACTTTTTTTTTTTGGCCCAAGACACCATTTCCCGTAATTATAATTATCACTATTATTTCATGTTGCTCATGTTCTGTAAAGAATTTCGTTCATTTTATATAGATTTATTTTGGGAAAAGTCTGTTAGAATGTGGAAATATTTGCAGGATAGGGAAGGATCTGCTTGCTCATCGCCGTCTTTGTCATCACTATCTTCATGCTAATAATCATGCTACATCCCTAGTGTATGTACCGTTACTCATTATGATCCTCATCGTAATCATCATCACATTTTTTTTTACATCTGCTTCTTATTTCCCATCCTCATCCCAAACATTTTTTCAATCATCTTTCCCCGTCTCGCATTTCCTCCTCCGTCCTCCTGCTCGTCTCATCCATTCTTACCCTCGCTTCATCTTTATTCCTCCCTAGGGATCTTGGAGATCCACATAGACACGGTTCAGTCCCTCCTGGACACGGCCGCCATGCTGCAGCTCACCGACGTACAGAAGGCGTGCTCTGAGTTCCTCAAGAGACAACTGCACCCTGCTAACTGCCTAGGTGAGGATTGGTATGCCAGTCTATGTCAGCACTTCACATGTATTTCACGTCTTTGTTTTAAGGATATGCAGAGTCCACCTTGGGCAAATATCGATTACTTGTGGGAATTTTAAGCAAACCTCTTATGTTTACTAATAGAAAATGAGATCTAACGATCGATGTAAAAATGTGTGGAGGTGTCCGTTAACAAATACCTACAGTATTTCAACAAATTGCAGGTGAACGCCACGCAGCTTTTATAGATAACTGCTGTTTTAAATCACAGAGAAGCATGATCTTGTGTGAAGAAATATTATGTTAGGAAGATATGAATTTAAATGTTTGATTTGTGAAGGGAAAATCCATTTTTGAGTAAAAGGCATTTAATTTTTTTTCCAATCAAATCAAATTATGATTCTCTTAAAGTGCATGTTAGTGTCTTTTATTGTATTCTTATTTCAGTTCCACAGGATGAAGTAACTCTTTAAAAAAAATTTTATTCTTTCACGTTGTTGACCCATGGTCAGTCTAACAACTCATTGGTTGCACTACGAAGTGAGATATCATGTGCACAAAGTCCAGTGACGATCCATCAATTCGTGGTGCACCCGACGAACTGTACTAGATAGTATGACCAAAAGATTTTTACTGCAACAAATTCCCTTATTCTTAAGGCATTTCATCACAGTTCTAATGTAAAATTAAAACTTTGATTGAAATTGTACTACAACTTTGGAATAATGAATCAGTTTCTGTGTGGTTTGTTGATCTCATTGTGTAAGGGCCCGTCTAATTTCAGGAATTTGAATTCATAGCCCAAAAACTTATTCTTTGATGTGGCCACTAATTTCAGGGATCCGCAACTTCGCCGACGCCCACACCTGCACGGACCTAGTGGAAGCCTCGGGCAAATTTGCCGAGCGTCACTTCACCGAAGTCGCCAACGAGGAGGAATTCCTTCAACTCCCCAAACCCCAGCTGGCTGAGTTGCTCCAATGCGAGGACCTGAACGTCCGGAGCGAGGAAGAGGTCTACAAAGCCATCATGCGCTGGGTCTACCACGACAAGGAGGCGCGGCGCGGGGAGATCGCAGAGCTACTGCGCTCCATCCGCATGCCGCTCTTATCCCCGCGATTCTTGGTGGACACGGTGGAAGCGGAGGAACTGATCAAGCAGGACATCAAGTGCAGGGATCTGCTGGACGAGGCCAAGAACTACCACATGTTGCCGGACCGACGGACGCGGATGCAGCAAGAGAGGATTAAACCGCGGAGATCTACAGTGGGTGAGTGGTTGCCGCGGGGAGGGGCAGGGTCTTGTGGTTAGGGTCCAGGGTTAGGTCCTGTTGGTCTGGCTTTAGATAGGGCCATGGTCCAGTTGTCATGGCTGAGTTCTACTCATATCCTGTATATAAGACTTGAATGTTGGCTACAACCAAACTGTAAAATAAGACAGTGAACAAACTAATTTTTATAAGTGGGTCATTCTATAAATTTGAAACAACGCAATGATCTTTGGAACTTGCCATTCAAGTATCGTTAAGAATGACTTTAAACAAGTATCTTTTTAATTAATGTCTAAAGATGTAGAATAAAAAAATCCAGACACCTTTTTTGCCTTATATTTTCAGGAAATAAATTAAAATGTTGCAGATCTACCTTGAAGCCATCAGCTGCACATACCGTACCTTTTAGTTTTAATATCACAATGTGGAAATAGCGCACACTACTATATTTAAGCCTTTCTCTTTTTTGAAAAGAAAGTACTCTAACCGAAACTTTGATTCTGGATCCGCCCTTGACTTGATAATGACCTTTTTTGGTTGTCCCTATTCATTCCCCGTGTCGCCTCCTGAAACTCGCTGAATTGCACTCATCCCCACGAATGGAACTTTTTGAGTTTACAAATGGTTAATATCAGTTTCTGTCTGCAAAGTACAAAGAGTCCACGTTTGAAAGAAACAAAAATTATATTCTGTGCATAAATCTTCAAAACTCTATATATAGCCATGATTTTTTTTATCAAAGAAAGTCAAAAGCTTGTTTTTCACAAAACACATCCTGGTAGGCAATTGTCATGTTGTTTACTCAGTTCGTTTACCTCATCAGCTGGGACGGCACAAGTACTTTTCTCTCACTGTTTATTTGGCCCGAGGGAGTCGCAATCGGCTCGTGTCGTTTTTTGCCGTCCGAACAAACACAGAGAGACGGGGTTGTCATGGCAACCATTGTATCGGATGGACATTGTTCAGCAAAACTTGTGCGCCACGTTACAATCGGTTTCGATCTCAGTGTCCCTAACTAACGTCATAAATCTTGTTTTTCCCGCTTTGGTATCTATTAGCTTTATCAGCTTAATATAGAAATACTTAACAATAAGTAGTTTTATGCACATTTGTTCATGTCATGTTGGAACTCAAGTTGTACATGCACATACATGTACAATTGTACATAATGTAAGCATACAATGTAACCCTATGGCAAATTTTTCGCTGCTTGTCTTTTAATGAATTTGTTGTATGTTTTCCATACAATTAAATCGAAGGCTGGTTCAATATTTGCCATAGTTGAAACGTATTTAATTTCTGTGAATGCACAGCGCCGAAACTTGACTTCACATCACAAATTTGCAATCACATTCATCTTCGCTTTAACACTTATGAACTGGCCTTCAGTCTCAAGTGTACATACTCATCACAACTAGCACAACTTTAGTTTTGGCAGTTCACATGTAACATTGCATTGAACTTTATCTAGGTTTGAATTGAAATCAGAAATCAATAAAAAAAAAGTTCCCTTAAGCGAGTATGTCTCATCCTCAAGCTTATTACATAATGACAGGAATTGTAACACAGTAACACTACCCTCAACATTTACCCAAATTGCACCAAAGTTTTTATACTGACACGGCAATATTTCCTTGTGATTTGCAGGTTCTATCTATTGCATTGGAGGAATGGATAGCACTGGTCATTCACTGAGTAGCGTTGAGCGCTACAACCTGAGTAACGGCCGAGTCAGCATTGAGGCTAGCATGAACTCACCACGGAGTGGGGTGGGCGTGGCTGTACTGGAGGGCAAGCTGTATGCCGTAGGTGGGTGGAGAAACATAAACATTGGGCTCCTTTTACCTTGTGCCTTGCAGATCCTTCAAATTCCACCCGGAGGTTTGGAGGATTTCGCAGGACTGAGAAAGGTGGAGACTTTTAACTTAACGTATTAATTAACACATATAACCAGAAGTACAAAGGACGTGTCTTTAGATTCCCGCAAAATGGTGGATTTTGGAGGATTTGGTCTGGTTATCTACCCACAGTGCAAATAGAGTTTAGCTGAATGTTTCCTCTGCTGAGTCCGACAGTGGCTAGTTTCAGTTGAAGTTGTTAAAATACTTTCTCCGACCAACTGTTGGATTATATTGGCTTTTGGAGGAAACGTACTTTGCTGTTGTTGACTTCTGTTGGATTCGGTTGGATTCTGGAGAGTGCCTTGTCAAAATCTGAAAGCCACTGAGGTTTTCCAAGAACTGACTCAAGTCATGAATGATTCAATAAAAAAAAATAGTTTATTTATATTCTGTTTCGGAGCCAGTGACGGATTTTGAACTCGCATTCTTTTGCCAAGCCTCGAGATTTTCAGTGTGGCTCTGCAGTACTGTCCTTTCCGAATCTCTCCAGCATTCCCTGTAATTCTTTTTTTTCTCCCAAACACTCGTCCCTTTTCTTACAGGAGGCTACGATGGAAGCCAATACATGAACACTGTGGAGTGTCTGGACCCGGCCACGCGACGCTGGCATCGCATGGCCTCCATGCTCCACATCCGACGCTACCACTCTGTCGTCGCTCATGATAGGCAACTGTACGCCGTCGGGGGATATGACGGCTCTACCGTGCTGGACTCGGTGGAAGCGTACGACCCACGAACAAACCGATGGTGTAAGTAGAGAAACAGTCAGGGTATTTTTTTATCGCAGGTTTCATTTTCTCTGTATCCCATTTTGCTTGCTATGGTGTAGGAATTTATTTGTGCGTACAATTTGCAAAATTCCGGGAAAAGATAATAATGAAATGTGTTTGAATTAAAGATGAAATATTTAATAATATATTTTCAAAGCATTGATGACTAAGCATATACTACCACCTGGTAATTATTGACACAAATGTATGCTCTTAGGCAGAGAAGGGCAGATAAATGTAAAGTGGCTTGCTCACGGACACAAAAAAAATTATTTCATTATTTATTAAACAAATTGTAATTCTTCTTTCGCATAATTTCAAATTTCATTAATGTCAAGTGCTTACTTGTTAAAATTCCACATTAGCACCTATGTTCTTAAATACACATTTTTCTGGTCTTTTACAGGGAGAGTAGGTAGTCTGGAGACCAAACGCAGGCACATAGGCGTGGCAGCCATGGGCGATTATTTATACGCAGTAGGGGGAAGCGACGGCACGTCGTACCTAAACAGCATGGAAAAGTACGACCCCAGGTTAAATCAGGTTAGTGAAGACATCAAACAAAAACAGCCCATCCTCAGAAGCCCTTAAATCTCCCCTTAAATAACAATAGAATAACCAACACTTGAACTCTGTTCCCTTGCCGTAGTGGATTCCAGTGGACAGCATGCATTCCAGGAGAGGGGGTGTTGGAGTGGCAGCTCTCGGAGGGAGGCTGTATGCCATGGGAGGCTATGACGGACAGTCCAACCTGAACACGCTGGAGAGGTACTACCCAGAGGAAGATAGGTAAGACCCAAGAAATGGCAGTTGTAAAGAAAATCCTCACAAATCCCCAGAGGTACTCACACTTCCTCATACATATTAGTTCTGACTTGTCCTCACAAGTCCTTCGATCTCGAATAGAGTTATAGGCTTTTCAAATAAATTGTAACAAAGGCCTTCCTTTAAAATTGACTTGTGATTTGACTTGTGATAGACTTCACAGTAAGTCTAGACAATTATCTTGTTTATCAGTGACTTTTGATACCGTAAATGCTTTGTATGATTGGATAGTAAATATCAAATATAGCTTGGTCCCCTTTATAACAATTGTTAGGTTGACTTTAGAATTTTAAAGTGTTCACGGCCAAATATGTATTTTGGAAATCAAAAATGCAAAAGTAAGATTTGCTTATTCAACTAGTTTGGGTTTTAAAATGGGGTGACATCCGGCCAATTTCAAAGAACAAGTCGAGAAAACACCAATATTTGGAAAAGCGCAGGTTTTGAAAATTTTCCAGTCACAATCATTGTATCTTTATTTTTGTTCAGGTGGACGTTCCTAGCCCCAATGGCTCAGTGCCGGTCAGGTCATGGATGCGTGGTAGTCGGTGACCTCATGTATGCCGTGGGAGGCCATGACGGAGTCCAATACCTGAACACCGTGGAAGTCTTTGACACGCAACTCGGCGAGTGGCACAGCCAGGGGCCTATGGGGACGTGTAGGGCTGTGGCTGGGCTGGCAGTCCTCAATAACATTCCCTGTACCAACGTCTAACCCAGGCCCTGGGTCCTGCCTGCCTTATCTTGTGGGATCTGATTGGATGGCGTTTCTGAAACTGTTGAGGACAAATCAGAACAACTGAGGACATGTATGATCATTACCGAGCATGCCGTCCTCGGTAACATTCCCGGTATCAAAATCCAACGCAGGTCCTGCTTGCGGGATCCGTTTGGATTGTAATTTGCCATATGCTGTGGAAGTCTTTTCACAATGCTGGCTGGAGCTCATTAGAACTAGTGGTGACAAGTGAGGACGTGTAGAGTCATGGCAAGGCTTGACGTCCCCACTAACGTTCCTCGATCCAACGTCTTAGCAGGTGTTATGGTCCTGCCATCTAGTGGGGTCCAAGTGGTTTGTAGCCTACTGAACATAGGGAGAGTCTTTGCTGCTTCCAAGCAGTGTCTTGCCAAGAGCCCTTCTGAATGAGTGTGGAGGAGTGAGGACCTGTGCATTCATGGTTAAGGTTTGAGTCCTCAATCAACATGCTCTGATCAATTGGATCCAGTTGAAGTGAAGTCTTCCAGACGCCGTTAAGGTCTTTGGCATCCAGTTAATTCTACCCAGTGCCCACGGAAACAGGCACTGAGAAGTGAGGCCATTCAAGTACCTGATGATGCTTGATGATACCCTCGGCAATTTACCAACGTCTTGCCATGATCTCCGGACCCACAAATATTCTCAGGTCGGACCAGATCTGGGTAGGACCTACTGAGATTGCATAGTCATGTGCACCACAAGACTGATAGAAGCAGCTGGCACTGCTTTGGGGACATTCGGAAGTATCGGATAGATCCATGCTTGGACAGAGAGTGAGAAAGTCTTTGACATATAGCTTCTCAGAGGTTTATGAGGACATGCAGGACCTCAAACATTTACTGATGCAAGATCTAGGAAACAGCTTCAGGCCACACTAATTTGTCCCAATTTGGAACATTGTGGAGACGTGGGATCGGCTAGACGGGCGCTCCTCGGAAGACCTTGACATCTGGCCCACTGGTTGACAAGTGGGACCTTCCTATTAATAAAGTGTGCTTTCATTAAATTTATTTATTCCAGATTGCGAACTACGTGCTAAAGGAGCCACAGGCTCTGTGTACATAATGACTTGCGTAGCGTAAAGAGCGAGCTTAGTTAGGTCCATTATCATGCTGGCTGCGATAAGCAGGCACCTGCTTACAAAATGGCCGTGTTCAACTCAACTGGCTGCGGCTGGGACTAACACACACATCGATGGAAAGTGGTTGTAGCCACAAGCCAGTGGCTTCCATAGGCGCACGTGTTATTTCCAGCCGCAGCCACAACTTTCAGGCACAGCCATAGATTAGTCACTGTGGGATGGCGTCAAATACTTCGCAGCTCTGTAACACAGTATACAAACATTGCAGGGAACGTATGGCAGGCAGGACCTGAACCATAGACTTTCTTTTTACAAGTGAGGTGTTCTGGTCACTTTACCAAACCACAGTTGTGACGAACCCCTACTTACTACTTCCTGCTATCTTTATTTTAGACCCTGTGTACACTAGCTGTGTGTAGATTATCGAACGTGCAGCACTATTCTCCGCTACCTGTATCACACACAGTCTATTTTTACTAAATGCCAATCAACTCAGGATTCATAGTTAGCTGCCATTTTCCAACTCAACAAAAACACCTTCAGCTGATTTTTTTTTTCTTCTAAAAATCCGTCGTCCTTGAACAGCAATAAATTCCAAAATGTACTTTGCAGAGATTCATCCATTTGCTTTCTGTGCGATATAAACTAGCCACGTCTGGATTTAGGAATTCACAGGCTGTGGCTACAGTTTTTGCCCTTTATCTACTGCCGTAGCCATAGCCATAGTCTTCAATGCCAGATTTGGATTTCTGTCATAGAAAAAAGGAATGTACATGTACATGGTATATGTGCAGGTGTAAGGAACATCATTTAACAATCACTCAACAGTATCCAAGTTTTCTTCAGTGTCTAAGAGACAACAGAGCTTTGAATTATAACAGATGCATGTTTGAAATACTGTCCTTTTTTTTTACAAGTATTCAGAACTGGCAAATCTGTATCAAAAGAGGGCGCTATTTATATGGACTATTAACAGCTTCAGCTCCATATGAATTTAATAGTGTTCAGGTGGATTTGCTCAAAAGAACACATACACCTGACAACCTATCCATGTGTTGTCAACAGAGGGCGTTATGGTCAAACTTTGTTTTGTTTTTAATTCTTTTTTATTAGATTCATTGCGATTCCATGGTGCTTCAATAAATGGCGATATATTTATACATGTAAATAGGTTTAGGTTGTAGCTCAGATTCAGGATTAGAAATAGAGGCCTATGTCTTAAACATTTGCTAACACATACGCAGAGCATTGTATTTCCCGGGAAGATTGCATTAAGCCTTAATCTCTTCAAATTTGGGGGGGGGGGATAGATTTTTCCCATTAGATGTATGTTTAAAGATCTAGGACTTCAGAGAATTTGTGTCATGAAAAAAAAAGTTCGGGAGTTAAGAAAGTTGGAAAATAACCCGGGATTCTTATTCATGATCTATCAGAATTATCTAATGAGCCATTGAGTCTTTCAAGTGTGTTGAATTATTTGTGTTTTTGTCCTTGCGTCAAGTTGGATCATATTGTGGCCAGGACCCATATAAATAGCTATCCAGACTTGAAGCCTTGGTCACATTTACTGATACTCGAACAGATATTTTTGCGATAGGGCGCCCTCTTCCGACTCAGATGGATTAAATTAGTTGTACGGGATGCAGTTTCAAGTAATTCATCGGTGTATTAGCGAGACTGTAAACTTAACATTGTGTTTTTCGAGTTAATTACATGTAGATTGAAATAGTGCACAAATTTTACTTGTACATAAAAGAAGATAATTATTTACATAAATTAGCATAAATTAACCACAGATCCCACCGTAGTCGTGTGGAGTGCATGTCATCAGCATATAAGTATTCAGCGTGATTGCTTCCATATCCATGCGCAGTCCATCATCAAGTGTCCTTATTTTCTTCTGCGCATGCGGCTGCGATTTGGCGTCTATGAATAATTCATTGATAAGATTTATAATTCATGTAAAACAGTTGTGTCGTTTCAACCTTTATAACCGACTGGTTCGGGTCGTTGAGTTAAAGACGTTGTCTTTTGTGCTATCTTACACAGTTTGCCAACAACGGCTTGGTAGTTCAGTTCAACATAATTATTAGCATATAAGGCAAAAAAAACCACGATTTGACCAAAATAGGAAGTTACTAAAGTACTCGCAGAAATAATGTTGGGCTTCGGCTGTATTCTTAGCCTTACCTCATATAAATTTGGTGCACCCAGGACTAATAATGTCATTATAATCATCGATAATACGTGATATTGTGAATGTTTAGTGTGTTTTTATCCATCGATTTGTATCGGTTTTGTTATACAATTCGACACCAGTCGAATTGTTGACCAACGCACACTTCCAAGTTAACATCAATTTTAAGTTTCAAATCCCAATGCCAGATGTGAAATTAATGCGTTTCCAATGCTAATGTGTTCATTTTTGTAACATTGTTATTTTATACTGTATTTTCCTTGTCCACAAAAGCGCTTTCATTGTTTTGCCGGGGTTTTTTTTTAATTTGATTGCGATCAGCTAAAGCATAAACGACTTTAGAAGCTTAGTTACTGCATAATTATGTTTACTGACTAAAAATAACTTCATCATTATATCCAAGCGATAATAAACGAAAGCCAAATAAGGTTCACTTTGTCATCGTGTTTAGGTTCATTTTTGTCTTTTTTGTTTGCAGTGTTTTGTATTGTGTTTGAACATGTACTGAATGATTTATTATTTTTTACTGTGTTTATTTTAAACTAATGTTTTGTGGAAAAAAACCTGTTACGTGCAGCTGCACGCAGAACAGTAAAACGTTTTAAAAAAAATCCGAGTAATTAGTTGCTCTAAAAACCTTTACAACTGTGCTTCTTCATTTGAGAATGAAAAAGGTTTTGCTGTAATCTGTTATTTCGTACCCTATCGAATACAAAAATGGAACTATTTTTAGAATGTATTCCGATTTCAACTTGGATTTGTTTCCAAAGTTTTATCTCTAAATATGCCCCAGCTGCAATTGGTTAGTCATCAGATACGATTCAAATACATTCCCCTTTCAACTGACAGCTTATCCTAAACATCTGGTTGTTTGTTTCTTTCTTTCTTTTCAAAGCGGTATTTTTTGGGGTTTGACTTCGGAATAACTTAATCGCCATCACCAGCCGAATGCCGTAAATTGTCCAATTCAGCCCCACGCAAATGATCGTCATAATGACGCATTATACTCCGGGTCCCTGTTAAGTCATCCTTGATCGCTCGTTCTTGGCCTTCTGTTACTTCAAATTCTCCCTCTTTCTCACTCTCATCTGATATACACTCTATAACCATATTATAACATCATTAGCCATGCGCGGCCCCATCGCGGCGTTGCCATGGCAACGCTCCTCCACAGATGTCCGCGTATTCATTTCTGCTCCGTGAATCTCGTATCTCCATCTTCACTGCTCTTGTTCGCCGTGTGCGTGTGTGTGCTCGTGTGTATGTCAACCGAAAGCAGTCGTGAAAGGCCGCGAGTCGATGAGACGGCGAACGAATTAATGACGGGAGATGCAAGTCATTTCGCGTTGAGGAAAACACGTGGATGTTGTCAGACGCGCATTGGAGAGACACGGGGAGGTTATGGTGTGCATCTTTTCCGAGTGTGGAGCCGAGACTGTACACGGGATTCGTGAAAGCACAGACTTCAAATCCATCTGTACGGACAGTTTTGCAGGTTTTTTTCCAGTGAACATTTGCATGGATTGACCTTAACGTCATCGTCAAAAATCTCGGTATTATTGAGATGTATAACGAACAAGGTTCAAGATTCTCTACCTCATCAATATTATTAACTTTATGACAAGCGTGATTGAGAAAAAAAAATAAGCCTCATTTCTTTTAGATTCATCGGGCTTGTGGATGGCTATAAAAATGCTCTGCATATTTTGTCAAAATCTCCGGAATTTATTTCTGAGTTTTATGAACAATGAGCGTGTCTGCACCGCACCGGGTTCTAAGTAGCCGCCATCTTGAAGGCAGTTTCCTCCCAATTATCGTCGGGATATCTTCTTTAGAATTCGCCGAGGCCGCATCCATACAAACGGTGAACGCTAAACGGACGCGACTAGCACCTGTCTTAATTGCCTTCAGTACAGAAAAAAAGGGAGGCCCATTAACGACTGCGTTCACGTCGCGATGTGACGCCCCTAAACAGCGCTGCGATTTGGTTGACCGTAGATTGCGCGGGGAGTAGAACAGGTGGTAATGGTGTTGTGAAACAGCATTCCAACAACGCCTGCTCGTTCCAAAGGAGAAAAAAGAATCCCTCTTTGCTAAAAACACTTGGATTTTAAGCCAAGGAGGTAATCTTGATACAGCTTCTCTGTCAGTATCGCGGAGCTGTTTTTATTTTATCTCGGATACCTTCAGAAGAGTGTGAGGCTTTGAGATTGTGCGATAACGTTGGAAAGCGAAGATGATGCTACGGGGTTGAAAATAAATTGCGCCATTCGGTACAGTGTGGCCTGAGTGGATTGGGCTCACGTTGTTGACGATTGGAACGGAGGAATGTTTTGCTGTCTCGGTTAGTTGTAGTGTACGCCATTCTACCTGCGTGAACATTATGTGACACCTGTTTTGGTAAGTACGAGCCGATGACAATTCATCTATTCTGGGTTCTATATCATGAGATGGATTTGGTTTTTAATGGCGAACAGACAGTAACGATCTTGCTTCCTTTCGTGAGGTATACCAAGTGGAGGTTGGTGGGTATATACATAAAACACGATAGCTAGGCCTGATGTACAATGTACAAAGTCCACGCTTGAGACTTGAGACGTTTATTACGATGACCGGTGCATTTCTCGCAATTGTCGATTCTAAACCTTCTTTTGACAAACATTCCCTCCTCTCGAATCTGTAAATGCCATGTCTCGCCAGTATGATGAGCTGATTAGAGTCTTTACCTGCATACATGCTCACCCAGCTTTTATGTGTTTTCTTGTCTCATTCAACCAAAGATGTTTTTGTGTATTTATGAAATTGTTTGGTTGGTCGTTGGTGTAAGAAAAAAGGAAAGAATGTTTTCATTTATTTCATTTATTTCATTTTTCGGGATACAGTTGTTACAAAAAACAATGACATTAAATACACAAAAACACACATGAATATTTTAGACAAAAAATACACAAAACAATATTTTACAGCTCCCGCTGGATTACCCCAAAAACATGGTTTCTGTCGAGGGGCTCTCCCGACTGATTAAATAGGGCACACTAAAAATAATGTCAATAAATTATAACTATGTAAAACCTTAAGAAATAAAACAATATTAATAAAACAAGTCCTTAATGAATAAAACAAAACACCGTTGCAACCTGACGCCACTTTTTTCTTCATTATATCATCTCAAAAAAGGTCAGTCATTGCAAACATGGGGTAAAATGCTGCAACCTGACGCCACTTCAGCGGTTGTGTACAAAGTCTATGGACAGTCAAGAAAATTGTCTGAAGTATTTCCTAACAAAATTGGAAATGTTTCTCAGTCCCAGATTCATGTCTTATCTTCATTTTTGCAATGACTGACCTTCATTGAGATGATATACGAAGGAAAACGTGGCGTCAGGTTGAACATTATTTCCCAAATATGTTGAAAAGATATCTGGGACTGAGAAATTGTTTTCCAATTTTGTTAGGAAATTTTGTTCAAAAATTGTCTTGACTCTCCATAGACACAACCGCTGAAGTGGCGTCTGGATACTACATTCTTTCCAAAAAGAGTTAAATTGAAAACGCTGAAAATAAGAGCAGGGTATTTACTAGAAAACAATAAAACTAAAACAGAGAAATGAATTACTTCGGATTCGTATTAAAAAAAAAAAAAAAAATTCTTCGGGTCTTATCAGCAAATGTCATCATCATTATCATCTTCCTATACACTATACAGAAACCTCGCACGTTGGCTGAAGTGCAAACAAGCCAGTGCACACATAACCCAAGACATAAACTGGTAAATATTATGCAAGTTAAAACAAAAACATTTTGTACGTCATGAAAATATGAAGCTTTTCAAGGAAACTGCTTTCTATTGTTGCTTATATAAAGTGTGTTTTTCGGTGAAAATTCATATTAAATAACCGAATTAAGCCGAAATAGTAACGATTATCTCCCTAAACGCAATTCTCATCTACAAGTGCACCTTCATTGCTCTATTTGAATTGACGAAATTTATTATGAAACAAAAAAATATTCAGCCCGCGCACAAATTGAAAGTGTATCTTAATTGCTGTTACCATGGGGACGCCATGTGTCATGGCCTACGGCCATGGGCATCTAACAAAACATCAAACCTCCCATCACCCAGGGGAGTTTAGACAACCCCTCCCCGGGGAAGAAGGAAATCGAAGTCAGGTCGAAACAAAAACATGGGACTGGCGTAACTCAATTTTCAGGGCGACTGAACGACGCGTTCCAAACGAATGTATTTTCATTTTCATCTGCTTTCGAACGCAATCTGAAATAATGTCTTCCAAATTTGTTTCTTCAACTGGCTTCGATTGAATTGCTGAAATGAGTTTTTGCCCGAATTGCCCGTGATGTATTTTATTATTGACGTAAATGGATGAGTTGTCCAAGGCGATTTGTAGTTTTTACGTTAATGGTAGGATATTGAATGTCATGCGGGGTCCATCATCATCGATGTTATGGACCTTTCTTACTAATAAATTCATAAATATTCACGCATGCGCATAAATGGGCCTGGCGACAAGAGCCGAAAGCATTCGGGTCATTTTCTCGCAATGTTCTCGTGATTCAGCCACGGTGAAGCCCGCCGCGATTCAGCACAGCGATTCGGCCCGAAATATGGTGGATGGGTACCCCGAAGCACACGGTTATTTTTCTTTCACCCGTGCGATAAGGAGCCCTGCTTATTTCCTTCACCCTTGTGCACGGGACGAAATTACTTTTTAAAGTTTTTATTCTGTGCCCCCCCCCCCAAAAAAAGGCCACACTTAGGCCAGAAAGTATTGCCTATGACGATTTTAGTGACTTTTTTAAAGAAAAAAGCGACAAATACTGTACGAATTGAGAGAAAATGACCCGAATTTTTGGATCCCTGTACATTTTCAATGGACCGCTTTCGGTTCTTGCTGCCAGACCCATTTTTATATTTAAATATGAATTTATTAGTAGAACACCCATTACTCTAGCAAATGTTGCTACGGTAACGGGTCCGCAATAATTGGGAAATAATGCCAGGATATATCAACTTCATTGCAACCAAGTCTTTTTGCATAGTTAACACTTTCTTGTTTACTAGTTGCCATTTTAGACTTAGTTATGATTTGGGTGTAAATGCACCTGTTTGTTTCTCACTCACTACTGGTACTGTTAAATCTCAATGTGAGAGTGCTGGAGGTACCGGTAATCAATCTTGCCCATGAACACATAATACAAGAAGTAGCTGAAATTCTGCACCAGTTAAATAAAAAACAAAATCCTCATCAATAGTGCATATTTGTATACCGGTGGATGTTTGCGCGATTGTGGTAAAGGTCCTGCTGATGGACGCGGTGCTGCATCTACAAAATGTATAACTACACTCAAAACCTTATGACCAGCTTTCACAATTCTATAGATATACTAACCCGAGGCGCATTATATGTATGTTTTTGTTCTGTTTCCAAAATGTTCCCATTAGACCGTGTTCTTACCGTAAGGCAACATCCCTTCTAATTGAATGAGAAGTGTCAACATTCCTGTTGCAGTTACCGGGAACTAACCAACCGCAGATAGTTTGGAAAATGATTTGATTTGTAAATTACATTTTCAATTTGTGAATTTATATGTAGGACTGCAGAGGCGCATAGGCCTATTTTTTGCTCGTTTTATGTCGTTTATGAGAGGAGGATTGTGCAGTCGGATCACGAATGCCTGCTCAGTGCTCACGAACCGATATTATTAAATGCAAGAACTTCAAACAAACATGAGTGGGGTGAAAATAACTTAAAACATTCGCACCGAGTAAGCACAAATGAGCAGTGGACCAGTCAGACGCAGTGCAAATAACCTGAATTTTGGCTGGTATCCGGTTTTGGCTGAGCTGAAAACTCGTCTCTGCTTACTCGTGTTTTCACCGTCATGAAACTGCCTTAGGCCGTAGCAGCTGAAATGTGCATGCGCTCCCCTAGCTCCGGAGACAAAACAGCTGCATTTTCCAAGAAATGAATCCGTCATTTTCACATTTTGTCGTGACAAAATCCTTTAAGTAGAAATTGGGTTGGGGGGTCCTCCGATCGCAATTCGTCAATATCAACATACGCAATATAGAGTTCTAAGATTACATTTTACAATTTGTTTTTTTTTAGGGGGCATCTGAAAAATATGCCTGTCGGCTCACAGTGTGTTATCTGCTGCTAGTTACATATTCCGAAGACGTCATTTGTTTGTATAACATTCAACATCTTTCAGCAATGTGTAATTCAAGACGGCGATTTATCGCTTGTAATGCAAGACGTGCAGACGGGTCCCCTGATATGGCGACATGCCTCCGAGTGCCATTATCGAAGATATCATCAAAGGAGCAGTCTCTGCCACTCTGCATGGCTGTCAGATGATTAGTCTTTTTTTCGAGCCGCATTATCTTTGCCCATCATTCTTAAAGGGTTTAAAGTCACTGTGTTCACCCTGTGCGCCATTATGTGAGCCACGAGAGAAGGTCAAATGAAACATCATGATCTTTTCGAAGTTGTCAGAAACTTATGAAATTTTCATGTCAGTCAAAAATAACTTTAAAACTTAAAGCTATTTAAAACTTAAAGCCCTAATTCGGTGCATATGTGACTATCGCTATCTCATTGTTTGGCCTATAGGCAGTGGCGTCGCCAAGGGGGGGCAGGGGGGGGGCACGTGCCCCCCTGGAAAACCTAGTGCCCCCCCCCCCGAGTGCCCCCCCCCCCCCCATCTGAGATTTGGGTTGGTAAAAAAATATATATATTTTTGTTATATTCAACTCCCATCATCTGAGTTGGTTAAATAGCAATTTCTGGAGATATCTTCAGATCGAATTTAGCATCAAATGTGGCACCATTTTGCATCTAGCCCATCCTCCCCTTAGACCCCTCCCCCAGGACGGCGATCCGTATCCACCTAAGTGCCCCCCATCAAATGCTGGTGCCCCCCCCCCCCCCTGTGCCCCCCAGACTGAAAAGTCTGGTGACGCCACTGCCTATAGGTTGGAAAAGATCTTGCTGATTTCAGCTTTTTAGTGTTCTTTGTGTCGAAAAAAGGCTGTGAATAACATAACAGATCGATATAACTGTCCCTACCATTGCTACAACGAGAGTCCTTTGAGGCGCTTGGTGGCAGCAAACACACCGGTCCTTTTCTATTGTTTACGTCATTTTGAACATGCGCACATTGGCTTAAAGTTAAACGTGACGTAAACAATTGAAAAGGACCGGTTTGTTTGCTGCCACCAACGTCTCAAAAGTCTCCCATTGTCTACGATGTCTGCGACGTCCCAAAATCGTTGTAACAATTTACCGATTCACGGTGTTAGCATCCCAAACTATTGTGACGTCACGATAAACTATTACACTGTTTTACGAGTTCCAATAATAAAAGTGGTTATTTGATGG